TTTTGGGGGAGGATCCAGTTGGTTCAGGGGAGGATCCAGTTGGTTTTGGAGAGGATCCAGTTGGTTCAGGGGAGGATCCAGTTGGTTCAGGGGAGGATCCAGTTGGTTCAGAGGAGGATGCAGTTGGTTCAGGGGAGGATGCAGTTGGTTCAGGGGAGGATCCAGTTGGTTCAGGGGAGGATCCAGTTGGTTCAGGGGAGGATGCAGTTGGTTCAGGGGAGGATCCAGTTGGTTCAGGGGAGGATGCAGTTGGTTCAGGGGAGGATCCAGTTGGTTCAGGGGAGGATGCAGTTGGTTCAGGGGAGGATCCAGTTGGTTCAGGGGAGGATCCAGTTGGTTCAGGGGAGGATGCAGTTGGTTCAGGGGAGGATGCAGTTGGTTCAGGGGAGGATCCAGTTGGTTCAGGGGAGGATGCAGTTGGTTCAGGGGAGGATCCAGTTGGTTCAGGGGAGGATGCAGTTGGTTCAGGGGAGGATCCAGTTGGTTCAGGGGAGGATCCAGTTGGTTCAGGGGAGGATGCAGTTGGTTCAGGGGAGGATCCAGTTGGTTCAGGGGAGGATCCAGTTGGTTCAGGGGAGGATGCAGTTGGTTCAGGGGAGGATCCAGTTGGTTCAGGGGAGGATGCAGTTGGTTCAGGGGAGGATCCAGTTGGTTCAGGGGAGGATGCAGTTGGTTGAGGGGAGGATGCAGTTGGTTCAGGGGAGGATCCAGTTGGTTCAGGGGAGGATGCAGTTGGTTCAGGGGAGGATCCAGTTGGTTCAGGGGAGGATGCAGTTGGTTTTAGGGATCAGGAGGATTTTCTTCCTGTTGAAGGAAACTGGACCAAACCTCATAAAGTCATTTGCCTCTCCCCGGATCCGCTGTAAGCTCCGGTGAATGGGCTTTGCTGGCTTTCTCCTTCAAATTGGGACCAATATGGAATCCCCACCCACCGTAGACTCCCACCCGCCGTTAGACTCCCACCCACCGTAGACTCCCACCCGCCGTAGACCATCTCTTTGCATTGTATGGAGAATCCAGCAAAGTACTGATCCGCCACAATGGACACAACCAAGTGAAATATGTTTTAGCTGCATTGGGGTGAAATTCTACCTTTTGAGGTGCATCCATTAGATCAGGGGTGTCAGACTATTCCACCGTGGGCCGTATCGGCATTATAGTTGCCCTCAAAGGGCTGGCTGTATCTGTAAGACTAGATGTCCAGAGCACCCCACCCCCATTACATGAGATGTCATGAATCCCCACCCTCCCTAACATCACCGTGCACCCCCTTTGGGGCAGAGCTGGAAAGCAGAAAGTGCAGAGTCTGGAGGAGGACCAGAGGAGGAGTGGAGTCAGTTACCAGAGTCTGCAGAATGCTGAGACTGGGGGAGGCAGAGATGAGGGGGGGGCTGCAGCTGTACTGAGAGGTGCAGGATCTGGCGGAGGTGTTCTGTCCTCCTCTCTGCTGCCGACTGCTGAGACAAGGGGGGGGTACCTGCAGGAGAGGTGCAAGGGCCATATGGAGGGCCGGAATCGGTACGCGGGCCTTGCGTGCATTAGAGAGCTAAATCTGCTTTTGTCTGGTCCATTGCTGGTCATGTACATCACAATGAGTGCCGGATTTTGTACTTTGACAGCCCACAGACTCGGCTGTCAGAATACCCAAACAGTGTCTGCCTCTGAGTGGATGCAGGATTTGTGCAGCTGAGAACTTTCCACCTGGCCTTCTCCTCAACAATGGTGGAGCTACTGCCAAGGCCACCCACTGAATAAATGTAGGAGAAGTCACAGGAAACGTGGTCCCTAACTATTCCTACCACTGTCCCCTCCCCCTCCTGTAACACCTATGCTGACTAACCCGTGTAAGAAAGATGTATATACAACCCGCGCCAGTCATGTGATCTCCTCTGTTCTCCAGAAGCAGCTGCAGGGGAGAGGAGAGAATGTTCCAGCAATAGCTAGTAGACCCTGGAGCGGTGAAGGTGATGTCACCCATAGGCTTCAATGGCCCATCCATTGTCGGCGCTCCCTCCTCTCCCCTGCAGCTGTGTTGGCTGACACAGGGCAGCTGGATCCTGGGACCGGAGCGGGGTGGGGGATGACGATAGGTAAGTATATACATGTTTCTTACACAGATCAGACAGCATAGGTGATATGATGGGGGAGGGGGACAGTTGTAGGAGCAGTTAGGGTTACACTGGTTCAGTACTCGTCCCACTGACATCCCTTTCCCCGGCCTCCCCTTCTGCAGCTTCCTGGGGCGTGTCACATGACCCCGAGGGGTACCGGACTCTGCACAAAGCACATGGGCACGCGCACTGGGGAGCCAGCTGGCTTCTATATCCAAGATGGCAGCACTGGGGGCCGCAGTCGTAAAGAAGAACCGGTGGTGGGAAGAAAACGCAGGACCCCTGGATTTGGGGAGTACTTGCTTTATAAACTTCAGCAGATACGGCGTTTATACAGCATTTGTACGGCATTTATACGGCATTTGTACAGCATTTATACGGCATTTATACAGCATTTATACGGCATTTGTACAGCATTTATACGGCATTTATACAGCATTTATACGGCATTTGTACAGCATTTATACATTATTGGTATGCAGCATTTTATACGGCATTTGTACAGCATTTATACAGTATTTGTACAGCATTTATACGGCATTTATACAGCATTTATACAGTATATATACAGTATTTATACAGCATTTATACAGCATTTGTACAGCATTTATACAGCATTTATACAGCATTTATACGGCATTTATACAGCATTTATACGGCATTTGTACAGCATTTATACAGCATTGGTATGCAGCATTTATACGGCATTTGTTACAGCATTTATACAGTATTTGTACAGCATTTATATACGGCATTTATACAGCATTTATACAGTATATATACAGTATTTATACAGCATTTATACAGCATTTGTACAGCATTTATACAGCATTTTATACAGTATTGGTATACAGCATTTATACAGTATTGATATACAGCGTTGGTATACAGCATTTGTACAGCATTTATACGGCATTTATACAGCATTTATACGGCATTTGTACAGCATTTATACAGCATTTATACAGCATATTATTGTCCATCAAATTCCTCCCCACAAATGTATTGAGAATCCCGGCTGTCCCGGACGGAGGATAAATATATCGATAGATCCGGTTTTGCCTCATTTGTATTTGTAAAAGTCACCCCTTTATAAGTCATGTGACCCCCCCCCCCCCCCCGTCTTCTTCTGTATCTCTTTTTTGTGGTCGCACCGGATGACGTATTCAGAGGTTTTCCAGCAAAATACTTCATACTTGTCATTTCTGTGTTGTATTCCGAGATTTCTGTTCATTTTGCTGTGAATGTGACGATGAGAACTCCGGAGGTTCCCTGTGCACTCCGTGCCTGTGCGTAGGGCAGGGAGCTCATTACCAATGCAGGCTCGGCTTGCTGCTCTGCAGGGCTGCACAATGGTTGTACTTCATGTCTTCGTCTTACGATGCAAATCGATGAATCAGCAAATTCACAGAAATCAGCGCGTCCGCGTGCAGCGATCTCATCCAGCGACTGTTACGTGGCGTAAATCAGCAGAAAAGTCAGTGCAAGGAACGATCGTTGGATTTTGCGTGTGTGCGCGACTCTCGGTATCTGATTCGGAAATTTCCGGAGGGACAAACGCCAACATTACTCTCGTACGCGACCAGAACGAACGATTTTTCCTGTAATATGTTTGGCGTTATAACGATCGATCAGCTGCAGGCAGGGCTGCGGTTCGAAACCACGGGGGCCCCATATGGCCAACCTGACATGTCCCCCCTCAAAAAAAAACACAGATTACTAGGCGTCCGTTATGAAGGCACACAGTAAGTGATTGGTATCAATCACTCATTGTGTTCATTCAGGAAAGGAAGGGTGTGCTTGCAGCCGCTGGTGGAATGGAGAGGAGGGAAGCTGGCTGCACTGGGAGGGGGGGAGCACACAGGGGGAACGTATGGTGCACAGGGAGTGAGGTGGGTATAGCGGGGGGGGGGGGGCAATTACTGGAACCGATCCCCTGTATGGATCTCTCTGCAGCAGCTGAAAGCCAGCGGAGGGAGAGGAGAAGAAGCCGGCTACCAGCTGCTGCAGAGAGATCCATACAGGGGATCGGTTCCACTAATTGCCCCCCCCCCCCCCCCCCATGCAGATCACTGTCCCTGCCCACAACTGCTTGACCCAGCTGCTTGCCTGGGCCCCCCCTACTGGCCAGGGCCCCATACAGGTGGACTGGTGGTACCCCTTCCTCCTCCCCAGTGCATTGTATCCCCTCCCCCCTTCCCCAGGGCATTGCATCCCCCCCATTCCTAGGAAATTGTATCCCCCCCCCCCTCGCAATGCTCTGTTGGCTTCATGTTCTAGATTCCACGTTTTATGTCAGTACTGTTGGTGTATTTATTACTTTTTGCCCCCCCCCCGGCTGTAGTTAGGTAACCATGGCGATAATAACTGCAATATCTTCTCACTAATACAACCAATCAGCGGTCCCTGTAAGAGGGTCTGGTGTAGTCGGGGGATGCGGACGCTCCCTACAGCATAGGGAACAATAGAGTCCTGGTCAACACATCCATGTTCAGGGCCCCCCCCCCTCCTCCTCCATCTTCAGGGCCCCCCCTCTTCCATCTTCAGGACCCCCTCCTCCATCTTCAGAGCCCCCCTCCTCCATCTTCAGGGCCACCCCCCACCATCTTCAGGGGCCCCCCCTCCATCTCCAGGCCCCCTCCCTGGGGAATGGAGGGTCCATATGCTGCGTGGCCCCGGGGCGTGGAATGGGCTCAGTCCTGGTCAACACATCCATGTTCAGGGCCCCCCCCCCCTCCTCCATCTTCAGGGCCCCCCCACTCTCCATCTTCAGGACCCCCTCCTCCATCTTCAGAGCCCCCCTCCTCCATCTTCAGAGCCCCCCTCCTCCATCTTCAGGGCCACCCCCCACCATCTTCAGGGGCCCCCCCTCCATCTCCAGGCCCCCTCCCTGGGGAATGGAGGGTCCATATGCTGCGTGGCCCCGGGGCGTGGAATGGGCTCAGTGTTCCTCTCTGTAATGTACTTTGTGTTCTCTCTCCCAGGGACCCCGGATGGCGCCCCCAATTCATCGCTCACAGAGACGCAGGTAAGAGCCAACATCAGATACCATTGAATAGACGATTTTCGGGGTAATGAGGGGGGCGGGGGTGAGGATGGTGGGGGGTGGGGACGGTGGGGGGGTGCTGGTGTTAGTTCCATTCCCCATCTTTATGAATGGATGGGTGTTCTTGGTCTGGTCAGGATTACGCAGCATGTGGATCGATTGCTGTAAATCTTTGGGGTCGGTGAGGACGGTTGGGGGGGGGGGGGGGGTGAGGACGGTGGGGGGGTGTTAGTTCCATTCACCATCTTTATGAATGGATGGGTGTTCTCGGTTGTATGACCTGGTCAGGATTGCACAGCATGTGGATCGATTGCTGTAAATCTTCGGGGTCGGTGGGGGGGGGGGGGGGGGTGAGGACGGTGTGTGTGTGTGGGGGGGGGGGGAGCGGTGGGGGGGTGTTAGTTCCATTCCCCATCTTTATGAATGGATGGGTGTTCTTGGTCTGGTCAGGGTTGCACAGCATGTGGATCGATTGCTGTAAATCTTTGGGGTCGGTGGGGGGGGGGGTGAGGACGGTTGGGGGGGGGGGGGGGGGGAAAAAAAAAAAGTGATAGTGGGGTGGGGGGTGAGGACGGTGGGGGGGTGTTAGTTCCATTCCCCATCTTTATGAATGGATGGGTGTTCTCGGTCTGGTCAGGGTTGCACAGCATGTGGATCGATTGCTGTAAATCTTTGGGGTCGGTGGGGGGGGGTGAGGACGGTTGGGGGGGGGGGGGTGATAGTGGGGTGGGGTGGGGGGTGAGGATGGCGGGGGGGTGTTAGTTCCATTCACCATCTTTATGAATGGATGGGTGTTCTTGGTCTGGTCAGGGTTGCACAGCATGTGGATTGATTGCTGTAAATCTTTGGGGTCGGTGGGGGGGGGGGTGAGGACGGTTGGGGGGGGGGTGACAGTGGGGGTGGGGTGGGGGGTGAGGACGGTGGGGGGGTGTTAGTTCCATTCACCATCTTTATGAATGGATGGGTGTTCTCGGTCTGGTCAGGATTGCGCAGCATGTGGACCGGTTGCTGTAAACCTTCGGGGTCGGGGGGGGGGGGGGGTGAGGACGGTTGAAGGGGTGAGGACGGTTGGGGGGGGGGAGGGGGTGAGGAAGGTTGGGGGGGGGGGGGGGGGTGGGGGGGGGGGGGGGGGGGGGGGTGGGGGGTGAGGTGCAGTTCATGCGTCTGCAGATACAGAAATGTTCCTTCGATCCGAGCGGCAGAGGAAGGATTCGGTTGCATGCGATGGGACATTATAGGGTGGAGCTGGACGGTTGGTGATAACATGAGAACACAGAGCCCTGCGACCCTCAGATACTGTGAATCAGGAAAGAGTCTCACTTTGTTACTTTGTTGCGATGAAAGGTTACAATGGAGCGGAATTACGGCGAGAGGACCGGTGGAAGGCAATGCAGGCGACCGCCGAGAAGTGGCTGAGCTACACGGGAGTGTTCAGCAGCTCAGATGTCCTCAGGCTGGTCACATGACCCGCTGCGTCTTCTTGCCCTTTGCCAGGGGCCGTCCTCTGTTGATGCCCCTCTAGGGAAAAGGATGATTACCCCCCCTCCCCCATCCCCCCTCCCCATCCTATTGATTCATAGTGTACCTTCAGCTGAGACTGAGGGCATCTTGTGGCAGAATAGAGGTACTGCATGGACAAGTAATATAATAATAATAAAACATAAAGCCACTAATAACGCAGAGCGCAGACCACAGAGCGCAGACCACAGAGCGCAGACCACAGAGCGCAGAGCGCAGACCACAGAGCGCAGACCGCAGAGCGCAGAGCGCAGACCGCAGATACAGAGTGCAGACCACAGAGCACAGACCACAGAGCGCAGAGCACAGACCGCAGAGCGCAGAGCGCAGACCACAGAGCGCAGACCACAGAGCGCAGACCGCAGAGCGCAGACCGCAGAGCACAGACCGCAGAGCGCAGACCACACAGAGCGCAGACCACAGAGCGCAGACCACAGAGCGCAGACCACAGAGCGCAGAGTGCAGACCACAGAGCGCAGACCACAGAGCGCAGAGTGCAGACCACAGAGCGCAGACCACAGAGTGCAGAGCGCAGACCGCAGAGCACAGACCACAGAGCGCAGACCACAGAGCGCAGACCACAGAGCGCAGACCACAGAGCGCAGACCGCAGAGCGCAGAGTGCAGACCACAGAGCGCAGACCACAGAGCGCAGACCACAGAGTGCAGAGCGCAGAGACCACAGAGCGCAGACCACAGAGCACAGACCACAGAGCACAGACCACAGAGCGCAGAGTGCAGACCACAGAGTGCAGACCACAGAGCACAGAGCACAGAGAGACCACAGAGCACAGAGTGCAGACCACAGAGTGCAGACCACAGAGCACAGAGTGCAGACCACAGAGCGCAGACCACAGAGCGCAGACTGCAGAGCACGGAGCGCAGAGCACGGAGCGCAGACCACAGAACACTCAGAGACAGGCAATGGGGGACTTACAGTACTAATACCTAAACCAAGGGAAGGGGTGTCAGAATGCGGCACTTACCTGCAACAGCCTCCCAGACTCCGCCATTATGCACCAATCCCAGGGTGCCCCAATGGGCACAACTCCAATGGTTCAGGGAAGGGTTGAGTTGGCCCCACACTCCTTCCATCTCCCAAACCTCCATTACGGCCCGGCACTATATTGGCTGCCATGCTGGCCATTTGCAGTTTACAAGGAGCACCTCAGTACTCAGGATGCAGGCCTGGTTGGGGTCCAAGAAAGGTCCTTGGGACAACAAGATCCATAGAAAGTGTTTATAATCCCTCTATACTCCCAGTGAGGTGATAGAGATGTAACTCCTCCTACATAAGTTGTACCTGTTTATCGATAGCCATCTGTCTCCTAATGCCATTTAAAGTACAGAATATATACAGCTTGCCTGAGCTTTCAGAAAGCAGGCAGCGGGGAGCTAAAGTTCCACTCTGCAGAGCTCAGTGAGAGCTGATTGGAGGGAAGGGACATCCCCCCCTCCCCTTCCTCACAAAGGAACAGAGCTGAGGCTGTCAATCACAGGCTGTGTGCTGGAGCTTCATCCCCTGTCACCTTTTTATTTCTTGGTGTCAGAGACGTGACTCACGCAGATAGCAGACAGAAATAACACTCAGTGCTCTGGACTGAGACAAGTACACACTATAGAGGGATGTGCTTTGTTCATACTTCATGTCTGCAGTTTACAACCACTTTAAAGCGGAGCTCCACCCAAAAGGAGAAGTTCCAATTTAATGCTTTGACCCCCGCTCCCCATTAAGGATTGGAACCTTTGGGGAGTGGGGGAGGGGAGCGGGTACCCGAATTTGACAGGCACCCGCTCCCCCCCCCCCCCCCCCGTAGTCTTCTGGGACACGTGACAGGTAAGTGGCTGCATTCTAAGAGTCAGCAGATACAGATTTTGTACAGAGTTTCTAGCTGTTGACTTTTCATTTTTTTTTCAGCTGGAACTCCACTTTACTGTAAAACTTTAATTTCCTTTTTTCATATATTTTTGGGTGGAGTGGAGGGGGATTAGAGCTCCTGTCGGGTTTTTATTGCCGTCTGTGTCCTTGGTGGGGAGAATCACCTTCCCGATTTTGTCCTTTTTATCAGTTTTATCAAAACTAGAAGAAAATCCCAAATTTTGGGTGTTGACACCAGAACAGTGATAGAGGGGAGATCTTCCAGCGGGGACACTGGTTCTGGTGGGGATTCCCTCATTTTGGAGGGCTTCCTCTCTCTTCCTGCCTTGGCAATATCACGGGAAGTGACTAAATGCACGGGTGTCAAACTGGCGGCCCTCCAGCTGCTGCCAAAACTACAAGTCCCATGAGGCATTGCAAGATTGACAGTTACAAGCATGACTCCCAAAGGCAGAGGCATGATGGGACTTGTAGTTCCACAACAGCTGGAGGGCCGCAGGTTGGACACCCCTGGGGAAGGACTGACATTGGGTTCGCCTGGATAGGGGGCATCAGTGGGTCTTCTTGATGGACAAGTTGAGGATTCCAAGTTGCTGGAGAACACAGAAGTTAGGTGAATGTTCGTTCATGTTTTAGGGGGCGCCCTGTATGCGAAGTGCGCCTTTTATGCCCCGCTTCAGTCAGAGAGGACCAAGTCGTAGAATATCTCATCGAACGTTTCTCTCCTTCCACAGATGGTGCAATGTCTGGGCTTTGTCATCTACCGAGCGCTGGACTGGGGGCTGGATGAGAGCGAGGAACGGGAGCTCAGCCCGCAACTGGAGCAGCTCATTGACCTCATGGCGGCCAGCGACTCGGAAGGCTCCATGGCAGATGAGGGCTATGAGGGCACCGAGGATGAGGATGAAGAAGGACCTCCTCGGGTGGTGCGCAGCTTTTCGGCAGTCATGCGTTTCTGCGCCTCCCACCTTCCAGAGCCCAAGGAGGCGCCGATCCACTACCAGGCGGTTTTGCAGGGCTCTGTTCGCAGAAAACGATGGAGCTTCAGCTTCAAGCCTTCCTTCATAAAATACGGGAGGCCAAAGAGGTAGGAGAATGGAAAACACTCAACGCCAGATGACACCAGAGGACACCAGATAGCGGCAGATGACACCAGATAGCGGCAGATGACACCAGAGGACACCAGAGGACACCAGATAGCGGCAGATGACACCAGATTACTCAGATAGCGGCAGATGACACCAGATAGCGGCATGTAGTGCCAGATGACACCAGATTACTCCAGATGACACCAGATAGCGGGCAGATGACACCAGATAGCGGCATGTAGTGCCAGATGACACCAGATTACTCCAGATTACTCCAGATAGCGGCAGATGACACCAGATAGCGACATGTAGCGGCAGATGACACCAGATTACTCTCCAGATAGCGGCAGATGACACCAGATAGCGACATGTATGCGGCAGATGACACCAGATAGCAGCATGTAGCATTAGATGACACCACATTACACCAGATGACACCAGATAGCGGCAGATGACACCAGATAGCGGCAGATGACACCAGAGGACACCAGATAGCGGCAGATGACACCAGATAGCGGCAGATGACACCAGATAGCGGCATGTAGTGCCAGATGACACCAGATAGCGGCAGATGACACCAGATAGCGGCATGTAGCATTAGATGACACCACATTACTCCAGATGACACCAGATAGCGGCAGATGACACCAGATAGCGCCAGATGAAACCAGATTACTCCACATAGCGGCAGATGACACCAGATAGCGGCAGATGACACCAGATAGCGGCAGATGACACCAGATAGCGGCAGATGACACCAGATTACTCCAGATAGCGCCAGATGAAACCAGATTACTCCACATAGCGGCAGATGACACCAGATTACACCAGATAGCAGCATGTAGCGGCAGGTGACACCAGATAGCGGCAGGTGACACCAGATAGCGGCAGGTGACACCAGATAGCGGCAGGTGACACCAGATAGCGGCAGGTGACACCAGATAGCGGCAGGTGACACCAGATAGCGGCAGATGACACCGGGCTTTTCACTTTTTGTAGTGAACACAAAGCTAACGCAGATTTTGCTCCTGCAGATGCTGATGAAGATGAGGGCGGAGGAAGCTGAGCCAGACGGACTGGTGAACCTCCAGAACACGGACTGGGTAAGAAGGAGGGATGGATGTCTGGAACGTGGTGAGATGTGATGGAGCTCTCAGCATGGATTGGCCCCCATTTAGGAACTTGGCACCCGGCACGTCCTCATCACTCCCACTCCGCCATTTCTACGTATTATTGGAGGATAAGAGATCCTTCTGCCACCTCCCTCCCCTCCCTGCCCACCGTGCTGAACTGGCCCCCCCAGATGACAACTGACCTTGCTATCATACCACCAAACCCCTCCATTCACCCACCCAACCCTCCTTGGGCCCTCCACCTCCACTCTCTACCACCAACCCCCATTCATCCCCCAACCCCCCGGGCCCCTCCACCGCCACTGTTCACCATCAACCCCCATTAACACCCCAACCCCCCTGTGCTGCCTCTCCACCACCAACCACCATTCACCCACCAGCCCCCCTCGGTCCCTCTGCCACCACTCTCCACCACCAAGCCCCATTCACCTCCAACCCCCCCCCCCCCAGGCCCTCCACCGCCACTCTCTACCACCAACCCCCATTCATCCCCCAACCCCCCCTGGGCCCCTCCGCCACCACTGTCCACCTTCAATCCCCATTCATCCCCCGACCCCCCCGGGCTCCTCTTCCTCCAGTGTCCACCTTCACCCACCAGCCCTCCGCGGGCCCTATGCTGCCACTCTCCACCACCAACCCCCATTCAAACCCCAGGCCCCCCTGGGCCCCTGTGCTGCCACTTTCCATCATCAACTCCCATTCACACCTCAACTTCCCCCGGGCCCCTCCACCGCCACTCTCCACCACCAACCCCCATTCACACCCAACCCCCTGCCCCCCCCCCAGGCCCTACCACCGCCACTCTCCACCACCAACACCCAAACCCCCCCCCCCCCGGACCCGTCCCCCCGGACCCTACCATCACCACTCTCCACCACCAACTCCCATTCCCGTTTTCCGTCTATTTACATCCTTTTTTTATCCGGGTTTTGTCCGTTCAAAAAAAATGGATGTTAGTCCATAGAAATACATGGGGGGTCCATTCTTCATCCGTAAACAGACATATGGAACACCCGGACCTTAGGGTTCTAGAAGAGCGTCTCGGGGATCTGCCCCCCAGAGTAGGGATTGGCTGTTTGGGAGATTTTGTTGAACTTCCATCCCCAGAAACCCGAGAAGTGAGAAGAAATCCCCTCTAATATACTCGCAGCAAATTGTAGGCAACTCCTGCGGAATCGGCCGAAATTCGTTCCACGGGCGACCCTGTCAGCAGCACCCGGCGTGTTCCAAGTCAGTTCTTCAGAAAGGGGGCTAACCGCACTGCTCCTTGTAGCCGGGGGCCGCTGAGCAGCTGCTGAGGGTGTGGCTCGGGTCATCTGGCCCTAATGACAGCTAATTGCTCCATCTGCTTCCACATCATTGATTTGTGGGCCCGACGCACACAGGACGCAAAATATACTCCTAGAAGTCGTCCTGATAGCAGCGACTTTGCAGAAAAAAAAAACGTCACTTGCTCGCAAAAGTATCCAACACGTTTACCAGCGTTTACATGCGTCAAGCCCTTCATCTTATTGGCCGCAATGATCATTTATTCTCGCCATTGAAATGAATTATCGCCACTAGCGTTTAGGCACGTTTGGATGCGTTTAGTGATTCCATTACCAACAAATCAGCATTGCCAGCGCCTTCATCTCTGTTGTCACATTTCCCTTCAAGTGCCGGTCATACCGCTGCGATTTCAGGTGCAATTGGCAAATTGAGATCACATCTGGCGAATGTGAATGTCGCTGTCTTCACGCGTGCGATTTGCTGCTGCGCAATTTCTAAAGTAGTTCTCGCGTGACTTTTTCTGCAGTTTTGTTGCGATTTCACATACATAGAATAGAATGGAAATCACGCTGCAAATTATTTATTATTATTATTAATTGCAAGAGATGTTTGAAAATCTTCACAAGTCGCAATAAATTCTATAGAAATCGCGCTGAAATTGCGCACAAATCGCAAGCTTTTAAATCGCAGCGGTGTGACTGGTGACTTAGGGGGGCTGGGGCAATCCATATCCCTGCCAGGGGTGCTGACAATAGCTCAATGCGTTTTTTAGCATTTTTTGCAGAAACGCACTACGGCTCGGTTCATACCTACGCAGTTTGCTTTTGATCCGTTTTTGCATTTCGCTTTGTATTTTTAAATGCATGTTTTTTACCGCGTTTTGCGCTTTTTTACAACTTTTCTTTTTTTAAAGGGGAAATGTTTTTTCTTGCTGGCAGGCTAAAAGCACAAAACGCAGCAAAAACGCACCACATTCGCTTTGTATTTTTAAGTCTAGGTTCACACCTAAACGTTTTCCATTGCGTTTTGCATTTTGTAGAGACGCACAGCAGTCCACTTAACATGATTTCCTATGGGACGGGTTCACATCTCCGCGTTTTGACCTGCTGCAGGTTTTTTGGAAAGGGTCAGGGACTTTTTTTAATGTAAAAAAGTTGTATTTTTGGTTCTATAGACTTAAATGGAAACGTTGCAGAAATGCATGTATTGCGTTTTTTGTGCCTTTTACGTTTTAATCTGCCCAGCAACAAGTTAGCAAAAAACAAACAAACTGCAAAACGTGTCAAAAACGCACCGCAAAAAGCACTGCAGAGACAGATTAAATGCTAGCCCCCAGAAACACCGATCCGACTTTGAAATTGTGCGACTTCCAGTGAAGGGCAGCATTCTGACTTGCGTTACGACTTGGAAGACGCAGATTTCTATGTAAGTCGCACCGGAAGTGGTGTATGCACTACCTTAGACATTGGTGCTGAATTGGAACCGCACCAAAATGATCGCTGTACCTGCAGACAATGGGGTGCTACTTACCATGCGATTTCCAAGTCATATGGCATGCCGCGGCTCCGGCACACCCGTGTGTAATAGTCTGCCCCTCCCCCAGTCCTAGTTTTTTGGACAGCTTGGTGCGCATAGAAATATGCGGGTCAAAATGATAAAGCGATACAACAGTCATTGATGTTGGGAATATTATCACCGCAGTTATTAGACGGATGCAATAATTATGATGCAATGTAGTCCTTTGATCCCGCCCAAAGTTCAGTCCACGCTGGCCCTGCACGGGTTTTAAAGCTCTCTGGCAGCAGATGGTGGAGGAGTTGTGTGGGAGAGTCTCGGTGTGGGAGAGTCTCGGTGTGGGAGAGTCTCGGTGTGGGAGATGTTTGACAGCCTGACCTGTAAGATCCTCATAGCCAAGTATGAAGTGAGTGCCCCATAGAGGTGTACATGGAGCACAGCCTGCCCTGCCGACGGTGTACACAGCACTGAGCGCGGTCCTCCCTGCCGGTGGTGTGCACATTGCTGAGCGCGGACAGTCCTGCCGGCGGTGTGCACATCCCTAAACGCGGTCCGTCCTGCCGGCGGTGTGCACATCCCTAAACGCGGTCCGTCCTGCCGGTGGTGTGCACATTGCTGAACGCGGTCCGTCCTGCCGGCGGTGTGCACATCCCTAAACGCGGTCCGTCCTGCCGGCGGTATGCACATTGCTGAGCGCGGACAGTCCTGCCGGCGGTGTACGCAGCACTGAGCACGGTCCTCCCTGCCGGCGGTGTGCACATCCCTAAACGCGGTCCGTCCTGCCGGCTGTACACATCGCTGAGTGCGGTCAATCCTGCCGGCTGTACACATCGCTAAGTGCCTGTCAATCCTGCACACACCACCATGTCTTGTTGCGTCGCACACACGACGTCTTTCGGTCTCTGTTTTGCCGTGTGTTCCGTGCTCTGCGTCACGCAGTATTTTTTATGTTGCACGTGTATGACGCACATCTGCGCACGCGGGACCATGTACTCGGTGCTGTGCGCGTTACACTTGGTGTCCTGTGCTCTGCAGGCTCGTTTGTGGGTGCAGCTGATGAGAGATCTGCGACATGGGGTGCAGCTGAAGAAGGTGCGGGACAAGACCTTCAACTCTCTGCCCACCGAATACCAACTTACTCCCTTCGAGATGCTGATGCAAGACATCCGGGCGCGCAACTACAAACTGCGCAAGGTCATGGTGAGTGCGACTTCTGTGTTCTGGGGGGGGGCTCGGGGGTGGGGGGCTTGTCCCAGGAAATGTTGATTTATTATCAAAACTGATGGATCGTGCCAAAAAATTCTTCTGTGTGTTCAATGGAAACCTCTACTGAGAGCAACGAGGGAAATCACCACATTGCGGGGGAGGGTCAGCACTGGCCGCCCTGCATTGCTCTCAGTACAGGTTCTCTTTAGAGCTCATCTATCACATGTGAAGGAAGAAGATCTGATACTCCGACATGTCGTCATATTATATAGATGTGTGTGTATATATATATTGTGTGTCACCCTAACACCCGGTGGTTCTTAGTTTCGGGGATTTTGGTTGCCCCCCCCCCACGTCCTGAACCCTAACTTTAAAGGCTGACCCCTCCAGTCCTGCATAGTCGGGGGGGGGGGGGGGGGGGGTAGTCCTGGGAGGTATTCCGCTGTGCAGCTTTTACAAATGCTGAATAATGTTCATGCAATACCTGTAGGCCACCATCTGCATCCCCCAATGACTCTCATGGCGATCTGCGCCCCCCTCCTGTCCCGTTGCTAGGACACTGTAAATGTAGGGAACGCAGCGCATGCACAGCAGAGCGCACACTGGCTCCAGTGGTGGCAGGTGCAGGTATTTCAGTAGCTGGAGTATCCCAGCAACAGGATAGGGTGCAGTTATCCTTGAGAGTTTTTCATCCAGGCTTTTGGGGTGCAAATGGACTGTTGGTATTGCAGTTTTATTACCTCCTAGGGCCCATTGACTGCATCGGATGGTTTCTTTAAAATTGAACTCTTTAGAGCGGAAATAATCTCATTGATTTAACTGTTTCCCAAAACCACTACAGTCAATGCCGTGAATGTCACAGTTGCTCGTGCATTAAACTGAACTGTCATAACTGATCACTTCTGTGCAGCATCATGGCAACTGTAGGTCAACTGAGTCCAAGATGGCCCCTTCCTTGGCTGTATAACAGGAGTGTCAAGCTCAATGGACCACTCAGTCTTTTTCTGCCATCACTTTTCTATGTTTCTACCAGTCTGGAAAGGGTTACAAAGCCATTTCTAAGACTTTGGGACTCCAGCCAACCACGGTGAGAGCCAAATGGAGAAAACTTGGAAGAGTGGTGAACTTTCCCAGAAGTGGCCAGTCGACCAAAATGACTCCAAAAGCACAACGACGACTCATCCAGGAGGTCATAAAAGAACCCAGAACAACATCTAAAGAACTGCGGGCCTCACCTGCCTCAGGTAAGGTCCATTGTCATGATTCAACAACAAGAAAGAGACCGGGCAAATATGGTCTCCATGGGAGAGATCCAAAGCCACTGCTGACCACAAACAACACAAGGGCTCGTCTCACATTTGCCAAAAACATCTTGATTATCGCAAGACTTTGGGCTGATGAGACAAAGGTTTAACTTTTTGGAAGGTGTGCGTCCCGTTACATGTGGCGTAAAACTAACAGCATTTCATAAAAAGCACATCGTCCCAACTGTGAAACGTGGTGGTGGTAGTGTGATGGTCAGGACCTGGACGACTTGCCATCATTGATGGAACCATGAATTCTGTGCTCTACCAGAAAACCTGAAGGAGAATGTCCGGCCATCAGTTCCTGACCTCAAGCTCAAGAGCACTTGGGTTATGCCGCAGGAAAATGATCCGAAACGCACCAACAAGTCCACATTCTGAATGGCTCAAGAAATCCAAAATGAAGGTTTTGGAGTGGCCTTGCCAAAGTCTGGACTTCAATCCAATGGAGATGCTGTGGAACAGGCTGTCCATGCTGGAAAACCCTCCAATGTGGCTGAATGAGAAAAAATCTGAAAAAAAAAAAGTGGGCCAAAATTCCTCGACAGCGATGTTGCCAGTCATGGATCAAACGCTGGATTGCAGTGGTTGCCGCCAAGGGTGGCCCAACCAGTTATTCGGTTCAGGGGGCAATTACTTTTTCACATGGGACCAGGCAGGTTTGGACGGCTTTTTTTTCCCCTTTAATGAAATCCTCATTTAAAAAAAACTGCATTTTGCATTTCCTCGGGTTATCTTTGTGTCACATTAACATTTGTTTGATGATCGGACCAAAAAAAAAAAAAAAAATCAGGAAGGGGGCAAATACTTTTTCATAGTACCATACATTGCACATCTACATGGCACCTTGCATTACATGTCCCCTCTGCAATAAAGAGCCGTCTGCTCGCAGGTTTATTTATTTTCCATTTTAGTTTCGGTTCAACACAATTCTTACCTGTGTTTCCTGAAAATAGGATAGTAAATACCTATCTCTTACTTGCCCGAGAGATACTCTGCAGAGTATTGATTTCTTAGCCCCCCCCCCCTCCCGCTGTGCTCAGTGGTTCCTCCTGTAGACCTCTATATCACTACAAGACACAGTAGTAATGTAGGGGCCGGCAGATTAAACCACTGTGAGCATCGTGGGGGGGGGGGGGGGGAGGAAATCCAAGACTCCAAAAAGTGCATTCTGAGTTTTTTGTTTTATTGTTTTTTGGGGGGGGAAGGGCAGTTTTTCTTCATTAAAGAATCATTCACTCAGCGCAGCATCCCTGCACATACATGCTAATGATCTTGTGGCTGATTATTTATTTTTTTTATTATAGGTACTCATAGAGCATAGAGCGCTGTCATTTTACGCGGGGTGTTTAATGATGTATTCTATTATTTGACAGGTAGGGGGAGACATCCCTCCAAAGGTCAAGAAAGATGCACATGAGCTAATCCTGGACTTCATCAGGTCCCGTCCTCCTCTCAAGCCAGTAAGGTCTTCTCTAGTTCTCTCTCCAAATGCATTCTGCACTAAATAGGAACTGTAGATGGGCTTAGCATGTTCTCTTCTCTGTAGGTGTCCAGTAGGAATCTGCCGCCATTACCTCTCCAACAGAGGAGTCTCCACGAAAAGATTTTGGAGGAGATTAAACAAGAGCCAAAGCTGCGCCCTGTGGAGACTCGGCAAAGAGGGCAGAAAGGTAATGTGGTCTGAGAGGGCTGGTCTCCTCTGTGCAGGAAGATATGTCAACCCAGGACCAAACCAGTCCATTAGAGGTCATGATGGGGTGGGGTCTAGAGCCCATTAGAAGTCATGATTGGGTTGAATGGGGTCGGGGTCTAGAGCCCATTGGAGTTCCTGATGGGGTGGTGGTCTAGAGCCCATTGGAGGTCCTGATGGGGTGGTGGTCTAGAGCCCGTTGGAGGTCCTGATGGGGTGGTGGTCTAGAGCCCGTTGGAGGTCATGATGGGGTGGTGGTCTAGAGCCCGTTGGAGGTCATGATGGGGTGGTGGTCTAGAGCCCGTTGGAGGTCATGATGGGGTGGTGGTCTAGAGCCCGTTGGAGGTCATGATGGGGTGGTGGTCTAGAGCCCGTTGGAGGTCCTGATGGGGTGGTGGTCTAGAGCCCGTTGGAGGTCATGATGGGCTGGTGGTCTAGAGCCCGTTGGAGGTCATGATGGGGTGGTGGTCTAGAGCCCATTGGAGGTCATGAATGGGTGGGATGGGATGAAGGTCTAGAATCCATTATATGTCAGCAAGTGAAAGCGAACAACACTAACTGAACCATCCATTTTTGGTTTGATTTGCTCCTTGGAAAAGCCATACTTTGTTTTCATTAAAGGTTACTTCGTCCTCATTAACATTTTGCATGAGATACACAATGACCAAACGTTTTGGACATCGCTACAAATTGAGAACTTTCCTTTTGAACGTTGAATGCAGAGACATTTTAGATAATTGTACTCTTCCAGCCTTGTGGTGACAGTTTGGTGAAGACCCTTTTCTGTCCCCCCATGACTGTCCCCCGTGTACAAAGCCAGCTCCATAAAGACATGGATGACTAGCTTGATGTGGAGGAACTCGAGTGTCCTGTACAGAGCCCTGACCTCAACCCTACTGAGGTCTTCTCATAAATACCTGACCTCACAAATTGTTCTTTTGCCTGAAAGGGCTCAAATTCCCACCATCACACTCCAAAATCTTGTGGAAAGCCTTCCCAGAAGAGTGGAGGGTGCTGCAGAGGAGGGGGGACTTCATATTGATGTCCATGGTTTCTGAGTGGACTGTTCAACAAGCTCCTATAGGTGTGATGGTCAGATGCCCAAAAACTCTTGGTCATATAGTGTGTAAGGGATTCCCTTTTTATACTTGAACCCGGGACTATGTGGCTTCTAGTTATACTTATGAGCTTGCATGCTTGGGGCGTGGATACGCTTCCGACTCAAGACCCCCGAATGCCGTGTGCTTTTAGGTACCTCCTGGATGCTTTTTCTTGCTTTTTGAATTGTTTAGAAGCAACTGCTTCTGAGTTGCATCAAGCTGCTTCTCCATTCACGTTGTCTCGGGTGGGAAAAGCCGTTCAGAAGCAAAGTCCCATATGCAGAAGTGTTTCCAGTTCAGGATCGCCTTCATTCTAACGCTCTACCCTCATGTACACGTCCTCAGGTTTCGGGTCTCTCCCCTGTATCATGGATGCGTGTTCCAGTGACCAGAAGTCAACGTCCTGCATTAACCTCTCTGTTCCGGATTCGGGAGCCCCCCGGCCACGCCCTCGTGTTCTGCTAAAAGCCCCGACATTGGCTGAGATGGAGGAGATGAATCTGTCTGAGGTAATACAGATATTTTGAATGGAACTTTAGCTTGGTCCTACCAGATGTAATGCAAATTCCTGCAGGCTTCCCCCTGTGATCATATTTATGTCACTAGTTGTCCCGTGGACGTCTGAAATCCCTCCGAAAGGAAAATGATGAGAATCAGCAGAAGTCTCTGTTTAAAAAACCATTATTACATCCCTTTTTTTTTTTTTTTTTTTTTTTTTTTTTTTTTTTTTTACTTACACATTAATATTTTATTTTTATATTATTATAATTTCATTATCTTTATATTATAATTTCATTATTCATTTTTATATTCTCATTTTGATGTTTTCTGGCTGTTTTGATTTGTTTTTTTTTTTTTTTTTTTTTTTAATACTTATTAATATTTTATTTTTATATTCTAATTATATATTTCATTATTCTTTTAATATTCTTCTTTGATGTTTTCTGGCTGTTGAGGTCTTTCTTTTTTTTTTTTTTGTTACATCTGATAAAATGAATACACAAGACAGTTTGTAATGAAATGCCGTCAATGACTTTTCCTATGAAATCTACAGCCAGTTCTGATTTCCTGTAACCGCCAATGAAGAAATGTATCCCCTTTCCTTTTTAATCCTGGTGACAATATGTGGTCTGCAAATCGCATTTCCCAAAATCTTCATCCCCCTGCTCCTGTAATTGACATGCTGCCTTTTTCCTTTTCCAGTACCGTATAAAATGTAAAATCCAACTCCACCTTTTCTACAATACATGTTAAAGCGGAGTTCCACCTTAAACCAAAAAAAAAAAAAGTCAGCAGCTGCAAAAACTGTATCTGCTGACTCTTAAAATACAGCCACTTACCTGTCCCTCGGTCCAGCGGTGTCCTCACCATGGCTGGTTTCACCGGCCGTCTTCTCTCCCTGGCGCCGCCATCTTCAGTGTGGGCACGCGGTGGGGACAGCTTGCGGCTTCACAGCTGGGTGCCTACTGAGCATGTGCGAGAAACGCTGCGCATTATGAATGGTCCTGTAGTCTTCTGTCACGTGTCCCAGAAGACTACGGGGGGGGGGGGGGGCAGGAAGGACAACTTCTGCTTCCGATCACCTAGGGCAGGGGTAGGCAACCTGTGGCTCTCCAGCTGTTGCAGGACTACAAGTTCCATCATGCCTCTGCAAGTCATAGCTGTAACTGTCAGTTTGCAATGCCTGTTAATGTTGCAATGCCTCATGGGAAATGTAGTTCCACAACAGCTAGAGAGCCGCAAGTTGCCTACCCCTGGCCTAGGCGATCGAAGTGGGAGCGGGTACCTGTCAAATTTGGGTTCCCCCCTTTTCCCAAAGGTGCCAATCCTTAATGGGGAGCGGGGGACAAAGGCTTAAAGCGGAACTTCCGCTTTTTTGGGTGGAGCTCGTTTTAAAACCCGTATATAGGGTGCAACCTGGTGCAGATGGGACCCCCCTTCCCCCATGACAGCGTGCGGGGGTTCTTCTCCCCTGCAGCTGCTACTTTTGAGTCACCGAAAAGGGGAGGAACCAAGAAAATCGGTCGGTGCCATTGACCCACTAACAATGCGAAAATTGGACAATAATTCTTAGGTCCGATTTTCGAACGAAAAATCGGTTGAAATTCGACCCATGTATGGCCGGAATAACTTTCTGCCAGGGTAAGAAGTGGCGGGAAAGACTTTCGTAGTGTTCTGGGATTTCAGGAAATGCACCAGAATTGCCTCCATTGAGATCTATTGTAACGGAGCATTTTAGCTGCCAAAATCCTGATTGGTTTATTGGTCTGAAAGCATCACATGACCTGTGATTTGGCCCCCTGCGCTGAGAATGGGCGGAGTTTTGCTGATCATGATGGAAGCTGTTCGATGTGTCACTCCCGGTGTTGTCTTGCAGGAGGACGATTCCCCCAACTCTGAGCTGCGGAGGGTAATCAGCGCCCCGCTGCCTCTTAAACGTGACCGATCGTTCTCGGAGCAGGACCTGGCCCAGCTGCAGTGTGAGATGGGACACAAACCTCCACGAAGAGCGCCTCCGGAACCGCAGGAATCGGAAACACGAGCGCGATCCGGCAGCATGAACATCCCACACGGAGCCAATCGAAGTTGCTGTGAGTTGTCCCTGCGTTCTGACCAGTCATTTCCGGGGGTGTCATTACATGCTCAGGCTCTGCTTCCTGCCTTTGTAGTGCTGCACCATGGTTGTGCTTTACTGCTCCTTCTCAAATGGCAGCTCTGAGGTCTCCAACTTCAAGTGTTCCTGAACCCTCAACAGTGACCCCAGTCTGTAGATGCAGCAAAGCATGCTGGGTATACTCACTGTGGGACCTAAGGGGTTAATCCTTTGCATTGTGTAACAAGGCTGTTTGATCCTGTCTTCTCTGATCCTCCTCTTGTTCAAATGTCCACGCTGATAACAGACTGAACCCGCAGCCCTTCTGCACATGCTCAGTTTAGTGTGTATTGCTAGAGAGGTGTTTTTTGTTTTTTTTTTTGTCTTGGGAGAGTGCATGTGATCAGCACAGAGCCAATCAGCGCTGTCCAGATAGGTCAGGGGTTCTGCATCCTCCTAGAGCAGAATGAAAACTCCTCCTATAGGCTTTAACCAGTGTTGTGCTGGATACTGATAGAAGTCACAAGAGTGGATATAATGAATGCGGGGTCCGGGGAGAGCGGATATAGTGAATGCAGGGTCCGGGGAGAGCGGATATAGTGAATGCGGGGTCCGGGGAGAGCGGATACAGTGAATGCGGGGTCCGGGGAGAGCGGATATAGTGAATGCAGGGTCCGGGGAGAGCGGATATAGTGAATGCGGGGTCCGGGGAGAGCGGATACAGTGAATGCGGGGTCCGGGGAGAGCGGATATAGTGAATGCGGGGTCCGGGGAGAGCGGATATACTGAATGCGGGGTCCGGGGAGAGCGGATACAGTGAATGCGGGGTCCGGGGAGAGCGGATATAGTGAATGCGGGGTCCGGGGAGAGCGGATACAGTGAATGCGGGGTCCGGGGAGAGCGGATACAGTGAATGCGGGGTCCGGGGAGAGCGGATACAGTGAATGCGGGGTCCGGGGAGAGCGGATATAGTGAATGCGGGGTCCGGGGAGAGCGGATATACTGAATGCGGGGTCCGGGGAGAGCGGATATACTGAATGCGGGGTCCGGGGGGAGAGGACATAGTGAATGCCGGGTCCGGGGAGAGCGGATATAGTGAATGCCGGTCCGGGGAGAGCGGATATAGTGAATGCCGGGTCCGGGGAGAGCGGATATGGTGAATGCGGGGTCCGGGGAGAGCGGATACGGTGAACGCGGGGTCCGGGGAGAGCGGATACGGTGAACGCGGGGTCCGGGGAGAGCGGATACGGTGAACGCGGGGTCCGGGGAGAGCGGATACGGTGATTGCGGGGAGACGGGATACGGTGAACGCGGGGTCCGGGGAGACGGGATACGGTGAACGCGGGGTCCGGGGAGACGGGATACGGTGAACGCGGGGTCCGGGGAGAGCGGATACGGTGAACGCGGGGTCCGGGGAGAGCGGATACGGTGAACGCGGGGTCCGGGGAGAGCGGATACGGTGATTGCGGGGAGACGGGATACGGTGAACGCGGGGTCCGGGGAGAGGAGATACGGTGGGTGCGGGGTCCGGGGAGAGGAGATATGGTGGGTGCGGGGAGACGGGATATGGTGAACGCGGGGTCCAGGGAGAGGGGATATGGTGATTGCGGGGAGACGGGATATGGTGAACGCGGGGTCCGGGGAGCAGAGCAATCTTTACATTTCTGCTATGGATCTGTCCTTTTCTTAGGATGACATGGTTGTCTGCAAACACGATTTTTTTCCCCCAAATCCCTACAATAAAACACACCAAACCTATACAAAACTCCTTTTTTTGGTTAGTGTTTGGTACAAAGTGCACATTTTATTCTGTCATTTCTCGGGTTTATGACGCCGCCGGGCGCTCGCTCATACTGGGTGTGGATTGCCACGACATGCAAGTTTCAAATCGCATATTTTTATTTTTTTTTTCCATAAACGCCCCCTTTGTGTTTCTGGACATTTTTACAAGAATAGAGTAAGAATTGTGCAGACTGACGGGACAATCGCTGCTGGTGTGTATTATGGGATGTTTGATGCTGAAGTTGGGCGGCTCCATCTGTCACGTGGAATCATTTGTGTGGAAAAAATAAAGAAAATTAAAACCTGTCACAATGTTACGTTTTGTCCGCAGTGTGAGTTACTCGCGATGTGGAAGCTGCGGGACTCCCTCACCCAACCGCAGTACACTCGGCTCTGTGCAGGAGAAGACCGAACCCGACTCGAGTGGAGACAACCGGCACCGCTGGCTGGTAAGATTCCATCTCATACATTCTATAACGCCATTGATTTCCGCAGTGCTTAGATTTTTGTTAAAGCCGAACTCCGAGGGGAAAAAAACTCCCCCTTTTTTTTTTTTTTTATTGTTTGTAACTGTAAGAATAGGTCGCTGCCAATGATGTGTTTGCTGAAGCTCTTCGTTTCATCTCTCCCATACACTACAGTAAGCGTCGAACATCCAGCATGCCGATTTTTTTTTTTTTTCTTTCAAAAAGTCACATAACTGAGGTGACGGCGCAGCTGATCCTCCTCCATTCATGACACGAGCCCTGAGCAGCCCACAGAAAGGGCTTTCTATATATTGCCCACAAAGCCGGGATTTTCTTTCCGGAAAAAGAAGATTTTTCATAATGAAGAAAGCTTTGTGCTGATCGTAGAGACTCAGAGCAACCAATCAGAACACACCTTTCACTTTTATGAGTTGCTGCACCCTGCAGGGTGTCTGTTGTATTGCTGCCCATAATGAGCCCCGAAATCTTCCTGCAGGAATTCAGCCATCCGGTGGACACGTTGGCGCTCACCGTGGAGGAGGTGATAAACGTGCGGCGGGTGCTGGTGAAGGCCGAGATGGAGAAGTTCCTGCAGAGCAAAGAGCTGTACAGCAACATGAAGAAGGGGAAGGTACGGGGCCCCGCCTCTGTCAGGGGAGGAGCCTAATGATGTATATACAGCGTATTCTATTGTATACATCCCATATACACTATATTTCCCAAGTATTGTCCCCGCCCCCCCCATATATACACTACATATATACTACGTATGTACACTATATTGCCCCAAGTATTGGGCCGCCAGCCTTTCCACACACATGACCTTTAATGGCCACCCAGTCTTGGTCCGTAGGTTTCAGTATTCAGTTGGCCCCGCCCTTTCCACACACATGACCTTTAATGGCCACCCAGTCTTGGTTCGTAGGTTTCAGTATTGAGTTGGCCCCGCCCTTTCCACACACATGACCTTTAATGGCCCCCCAGTCTTGGTCCGTAGGTTTCAGTATTGAGTTGGCCCCGCCCTTTCCACACACATGACCTGTAATGGCCCCCCAGCCTTAGTCTGTAGGGTTCAATATTGAGTTGGCCCCACCCTTTCCACACACATGACCTTTAATGGCCCCCCAGTCTTAGTCCATAGGGTTCAATATTGAGTTGGCCCCGCCCTTTCCACACACATGACCTTTAATGGCCCCCCAGTCTTAGTCCGTAGGGTTCAATATTGAGTTGGCCCCACCCTTTCCACACACATGACCTTTAATGGCCCCCCAGTAATAGTCCGTAGGGTTCAATATTGAGTTGGCCCCGCCCTTTGCAGCTATAACAGCTTCAACTCTTCTGGGAAGGCCGTCCACAAGGTTTAGGAGGGTGTCTATGGGAAGGTTGGACCATTCTTCCAGAAGCACATTTGTCAGGTCAGGCACTGATGTCGGGGGAGGAGGCCTGGCTCGCAGTCTCCGCTCTAATTCATCCCAAAGGTGTTCTATGGGGTTGAGGTCAGGACTCTGTGCAGGACAGTCAAGTTCCTCCACCCAAACTCGCTGACAATGTCTTTATGGACCTTGCTTTGTGCCCTCCTAAACCTTGTGGACGGCCTTCCCAGAAGAGTTGAAGCTGTTATAGCTGCAAAGGGCGGGGCCAACTCAATATTGAACCCTACGGACTAAGACTGGGGGGCCATTAAAGGTCAGGTGTGTGGGAAGGGCGGAGCCAACTCAATATTGAACCCTACAGACCAAGACTGGGGCAATCTAGTGTGTCTGTGTCTGTGGGAGAACATGCAAACTCCAGGCAGGTGGTGCTGTGTTTGGAATTCGTACCAACGACCCCAGTACTGCCAGGCGGAAGTGCTAACCACTTAGCCGCTGTGTATACATGTATACAGTGTTTGTTTTACATATAAATGATCAGTTTGAACTGGTTCCCGGGGCTGGCTGTGCTCGCTTTAGGTTCAGTTTGTCTGATTTGAAACTTCAGACAGAGTCTCTGATAAAGAATAAGGGGACTTGCTGCTCTGATGGCTTTTTCAGCTTCATCTATTGAGGTCTGTAATCAATGGACTTGTGTCAGCAAAGCTGAAGATACACAACTATGACTTTGGCTTTTATCGTTCAGCTCAATAGGAGAACACAAAACCTTCATATGTAATATTTAGTATTCGCCTGTTTTTAAAAGTGCGCGTTCCTAATCCTGAACATGATATACACACAAAATACTTTAATTTCCTTTTAAGGGTATGAATACTTTTTGTTCCTTTCCTTCTTCTTACTGGACTTGTACAAACTTCCCCCTAAAAATTCCCCATAATACATTGAATGTTCTCATTCTCAGGTTTGCTGCTGTTGCAGATCGAAGTTCCCTCTCTTCTCCTGGCCGGCCAACTGTTTGTTCTGTAAGAGGTGAGTATTGATCGCTCGGTTATATACACTCTCCGGCCACTTTATGAGGTCCACCATGCCAGTGCCAAGAAAATCTCGCCCACACCATGACACCACCACCACCAGCCTGAACCATTGATACAAGGCAGGAGGAATCCACCACACTATGACATCACCACCTCCAGCCTGAACCATTGATACAAGGCAGGAGGAATCCACCACACTATGACATCACCACCTCCAGCCTGAACCATTGATACAAGGCAGGATGGATCCACCACACCATAACACCACCACCACCAGCCTGAACCGATGATACAAGGCAGGATGGATCCCCCACACCATGACATCACCACCTCCAGCCTGAACCGATGATACAAGGCAGGATGGATCCCCCACACCATGACACCACCACCACCAGCCTGAACCATTGATACAAGGCAGGAGGAATCCACCACACTATGACACCTCCACCACCAGCCTGAACCATTGATACAAGGCAGGAGGAATCCACCACACTATGACATCACCACCTCCAGCCTGAACCATTGATACAAGGCAGGATGGATCCACCACACCATGACACCACCACCACCAGCCTGAACCATTGATACAAGGCAGGATGGATCCACCACACCATGACACCACCAGCCTGAACCATTGATACAAGGCAGGATGGATCCACCACACCATGACACCACCAGCCTGAACCATTGATACAAGGCAGGATGGATCCCCCACACCATGACACCACCAGCCTGAACCATTGATACAAGGCAGGATGGATCCCCCACACCATGACACCACCACCACCCAGCCTGAACCGTGGATACAAGGCAGGAGGAATCCACCACACCATGACACCACCACCACCAGCCTGAACCGTGGATACAAGGCAGGAGGAATCCACCACACCATGACACCACCACCAGCCTGAACCGTGGATACAAGGCAGGAGGAATCCACCACACCATGACACCACCACCACCAACCTGAACCATTGATACAAGGCAGGATGGATCCCCCACACCATGACACCATCCCCCCCCCAGCCTGAACCATTGATACAAGGCAGGATGGATCCCCCACACCATGACACCACCACCACCAGCCTGAACCATTGATACAAGGCAGGATGGATCCATGCTTTCATGCTGTTTACACCAAATTCTGACCCTACCATCTGAATGTCGCAGCTGAAATCAAGACTCATCAGGCCAGGCAACGTTTTTCCAATCTTCTATTGTCCAATTTTGGTGATCCTGTGCGAATTGTAGCCTCCATTTCCTGTTCTTAGCTGACAGGAGTGGCACCCAGTGTGGTCTTCTGCTGCTGTAGCCCATCTGCTTCAAGGTTGGACGTGTTGTGCGTTCAGAGATGGTATTCTGCATACCTTGGGTGTAATGAGGGGTTATTGGCGTTCCTGTTGCCTTTCTATCATCTCCAACCAGTCTGCCCATTCTCCTCTGACATCGACAAGGCATTTTCCTCCACACAACTGCCACTCGCTGGATATTTTCTATTTTTTTGGACCGTTCTCTGTAACCCCTAGAGATGATTGTGTGGGAAAATCCCAGGAGATCAGCAGTTTGTGAAATCCTCAGACCAGCCCATCTGGCACCAACAACCATGCCACGTTCAGTCACTTAAATCCCTATTCTGACGCTCGGTTTGAACTTCAACAAGTTTTCTTCACCACATCGAGATGCCTAAATGCATTGAGTTGCTGCCATGTGATTGGCTGATTAGCAATTTGTGTGACGGAGCCATTGAACAGGTGGACCTAATAAAGAGGCCGGGAGTGTACATTGTATAATACATAACCAGGGTGGGAGAGCCATGATTGTGCAGACCAAGCTATTGAATACATTAACGTATCCATTTTGTGCTATGTTGCGTATACCCGGGGCTTTTTTTCAGCGGGAACGCGGGGTAATGCAGTTCCGGCACCCTCATCATGTAATGGCAAGTGTGTTGGGGATCTATTGATACTGAGGGAGTCAGTTCTGTCAGGAATGGATCTACTGTTGAGGGAGGGGTCTATTTTTTTTGCTGGCTGTTGGAAGGTCTATTGATTCTGGCTGCTGGGAGATCTATTATTGCTGGGGGTTATGTTGCAGGAGGGTTTCTTGTTGCCTGTGGGGGGGGTCTACTGTTGGGGGGGGGTCTATTTTACTGCTTTTATTGTTAGCAATAACAAATTACTTATCACCACAAAATTATACTTGGTTCTGTATTCTCTAAAAGGGGTGGTACCGGGAGGTGGGTAGGGGGTGGAACCAAGGGAAGGTGCTTGGAGGTGGGTAGGGGGTGGAACCAAGGGATAGGTGGGTAGGGGGTGGAACCAAGAGATAGGTGCTCGGAGGTGAATAGGGGGGGGAACCAAGGGAAGGTGCTTGGAGGTGAATAGGGGGTGGAACAAAGAGATAGGTGGGTAGGGGGTGGAACCAAGAGATAGGTGAATAGGGGGGTGGAACCAAGGGACGGTGCTCGGAGGTGGGTAGGGGGGAGGTGGAACCAAGGGACGGTGCTCGGAGGTGGGTAGGGGGGAGGTGGAACCAAGGGACGGTGCTCGGAGGTGGGTGGGGGGGGGTGGAACCAAGGGACGGCGCTCGGAGGTGGGTAGGGGGCGTAAACAAGGGGTGACTTGAAAGGGGGAGTTTCTGCACCTATTCTTAGAGGAAAAAAAATCTCTGGATATACTAAATAATCATTGGGAACTGATGCCATATCTGGGAATCCCGGCCGTATCCTACATTCTGCCAACTATCAACTGGCCCCCTTGACTGAGCATCAACACCCATATGGGTACCTTCTCTCTCACCTGGTGGCAGTGGGAGGTATTACACAACAGCCGGATTATTTGGCAGCGAAGTTCGATCCGTTTGCAATATTTTTGATTGGTTGCTATCACTGTTATCCTATGACTGCCACATATTCGTTATAAACCTCTAATGAATGAATTTTCTTTTACTTCCCTTCAGGTCTGCCTGTGGCTCGTGCAGCGTGAAGGTGAGCGTCCATATTGTGACTTCTAGGGAACATTCAGCCTCGGCTTATCCAATCCCCAATTCTAATTGGTTAACTGGTCATCCACCCAACCAATTAGAGGATGCATTTCAGAGGGATTGTTGCTGGTAGTTATACGGTCGATACAGAACGTTGCTAAAAATAATAAAAAAAAGTGTGTGTGGTCTTCATTAGACTTGTAAAGGTGCATTATATTGCCCCAAGTATTGTCCCCGCCCCCCCCATATATAAACTATTTTGCCCCAAGTATTGTCCCCGCCCCCCATATATAAACTATTTTGCCCCAAGTATTGTCCCCACCCCCCCCATATATACACTATATTGCCCCAAGTATTGTCCCCACCCCCCCATATATACACTATATTGCCCAAGTATTGTCCCCACCCCCCCATATATACACTATATTGCCCCAAGTATTGTCCCCGCCCCCCCATATATACACTATATTGCCCCAAGTATTGTCCCCCCCTTATATACACTATATTGCCCCAAGTATTGTCCCCCCCTTATATACACTATATTGCCCCAAGTATTGTCCCCGCCCCCCGTATATACACTATATTGCCCCAAGTATTGTCCCCGCCCCCCCGTATATACACTATATTGCCCCAAGTATTGTCCCCACCCCCCCCCGTATATATACACTATATTGCCCCAAGTATTGTCCCCGCCCCCCATATATACACTATATTGCCCCAAGTATTGTCCTCACCCCCCCCCCGTATATATACACTATATTGCTACAAGTATTGGTCCGCTGGCCTCCCCACACACATGACCTTTAATGGCCCCCCAGTCTTGGTCCGTAGGGTTCAATATTGAGTTGGCCCCGCCCTTTCCACACACATGACCTTTAATGGCCCCCCAGTCTTGGTCCGTAGGGTTCAATATTGAGTTGGCCCCGCCCTTTCCACCACATGACCTTTAATGGCCTCCCAGTCTTAGTCCGTAGGGTTCAATATTGAGTTGGCCCCGCCCTTTGCAGCTATAACAGCTTCAACTCTTCTGGGAAGGCCGTCCACAAGGTTTAGGAGGGTGTCTATGGGAAGGTTGGACCATTCTTCCAGAAGCACATTTGTCAGGTCAGGCACTGATGTCGGGGGAGGAGGCCTGGCTCGCAGTCTCCGCTCTAATTCATCCCAAAGGTGTTCTATGGGGTTGAGGTCAGGACTCTGTGCAGGACAGTCAAGTTCCTCCACCCCAAACTGCCTCCTCCATGTCTTTATGGACCTTGCTTTGTGCACTGGTGGGCAGTCCTGTTGGAACAGGAAAGGGGCCATCCCCAAAATCCTCCCACAAAGTTGGGGGCATAAAATTGTCCAAAATGTCGCCTTAAGAGTTCCCTTCACTGGAACTAGGGGGCCAAGCCCAACCCCTGTGAAACAACCCCACACCATAATCCCCCCTCCACCAAACTTTACACTTGGCACAATGCAGTCAGGTAAGTACCGTTCTCCTTGCCACCGCCAAACCCAGACACGTCCATCGGATTGCCAGACAGAGAAGCGTGATTGGTCCCTCCAGAGAACATGTCTTCTCTCCTCTAGAGTCCAGTGGCGGCGTGCTTTACACCACGGCATACGACGCTTTGCATTGCACTTGGTGATGGAAGGCTTGGATGCAGCTGCTCGGCCATGGAAACCCATTCCATGAAGCTCTCTACGCACTGTTGTTGGGCTCATCTGAAGGCCACACCAAGTTTGGAGGTCTTTAGCTATTGACTCTGCCGACAGTTGGCGACTTCTGCGCACTGTGCGCTTCAGCATGCGCTGACCCTGCCCTGTCATGTGACGTGGCCTACCACTTGGTGGCTGAGTGGCTGTTGTTCCCAGTTGCTTCCACTTTGTTATAATCCCACTAACAGTTGAGCGTGGAATATTTAGTAGCCAGGAAATGTCACAGATGGACTTATTGCCCAGGTGGCCACCTATCACGGGACCACGCTTGGAGTCACTGAGCTCCTGAGAGCGACCCGTTCTTTCACCAATGTTTGTAGAAGCAGTCTGCATGCCTAGGGGCTTGATTGTATACACCTGTGTCCATGGAGGGGATTGGAGCACCTGAATCAGATGATATGGAGGGGATTGGAACACCTGAATCAGATGATATGGAGGGGATTGGAACACCTGAATCAGATGATATGGAGGGGATTGGAACACCTGAATCAGATGATATGGAGGGGATTGGAACACCTGAATCAGATGATATGGAGGGGATTGGAACACCTGAATCAGATGATATGGAGGGGATTGGAACACCTGAATCAGATGATATGGAGGGGATTGGAACACCTGAATCAGATGATATGGAGGGGATTGGAACACCTGAATCAGATGATATGGAGGGGATTGGAACACCTGAATCAGATGAGATGGAGGGGATTGGAACACCTGAATCACATGAGATGGAGGGGATTGGAACACCTGAATCACATGATTTAGAGGGCGGGTCTAATACTTTTGGCAATATAGTGCTCAAAGACCACAGAATACCAGCTGTGAAGTCATTGTCCAACCAAACTTCTTCTGTCCTCCTAACTGATTTTCTGTTACTGAGGTCTGACTTTATAGCTAAGCTCTTCCAAATGTCCTTCTGCTGTTCAATGAGACACCTGAGCAGCCAGTGTGGGCACTCCTATTGGACGGTGGACTGGCAGTAGGCGGGGTTTAGTCTGTGAAGGTCATGCCCAAATAAAGTGAAACTAAATGAGAGAGCGGCGTGGAGGAGCCTGTTGTATAGTAAAGGTGATGGCGGACGTCTGTTCTCCTGGGCAGAACTTTTGTTTTAAAAGTTAAAATAAAGTGCAGATTAATTTTGATGATCGACTCGACCGAGACACACCGAGACCGAGACACACCGAGACCGAGACACACCGAGACCGAGACACACCGAGACCGAGACACACCGAGACCGAGACACACCGAGACCGAGACACACCGAGACCGAGACACACCGAGATCTCACATTGTAGTTATGTGTAGTTGTTTATATATGTCAGCCTCTTATATCTCTCGGACTGCATGGGGAGTAATCCCTGCCGGGTCCCCTGGACTCTAGTGGGGGGGAGATATCTCTGCCGGGTCCCGTGGACTCTAGTGGGGGGGAGATATCTCTGCCGGGTCCCGTGGACTCTAGTGGGGGGGAGATATCTCTGCCGGGTCCCGTGGACTCTAGTGGGGGGGAGATATCTCTGCCGGGTCCCGTGGACTCTAGTGGGGGGGAGATATCTCTGCCGGGTCCCGTGGACTCTAGTGGGGGGGAGATATCTCTGCCGGGTCCCGTGGACTCTAGTGGGGGGGAGATATCTCTGCCGGGTCCCGTGGACTCTAGTGGGGGGGAGATCTCTGCCGGATCCCGTGGACTCTAGTGGGGGGGGGGGGATATCTCTGCCGGATCCCGTGGACTCTAGTGGGGGGGGGGGGGATATCTCTGCCGGGTCCCGTGGACTCTAGTGGGGGGGAGATCTCTGCCGGGTCCCGTGGACTCTAGTGGGGGGGGGGATATCTCTGCCGGGTCCCGTGGACTCTAGTGGGGGGGAGATCTCTGCCGGGTCCCGTGGACTCTAGTGGGGGGGAGATATCTCTGCTGGGTCCCGTGGACTCTATTGGGGGGATATCCCTGCCAGGCCCCCATTTGTATATTGAGGTAAAGATCTCGGGCTCCTCTAGTAATGCTGCCGCAGCAATCCGGTTTCAGTGACAGATGTTGTACAGCTGCTCATACACTGACAGATTTTTCCAGGAACGTTCCTATGAGGTGAACACTTCTGGGTCGTCATTGATTCTAATTACCTGTCATTGATTCTTTCCCCAGATGAAGCTTCCCGCCAAAAAGTTGGGTCACATTCCAGTCTACAGTGTGGGGTTTGAGAGCCAATCAGGTGTACTTGGCACAGTCGGACACACCCACAAAAAGAGGGACACCTTCCAGTGAGTATAGCCAGGTTCCCCATAGGAGGGGTTGTAGTAAATTGTTGTGGAGAGCGGATAGCAAATATTTCGCCTGAAATTCCAGGAAAATCCCAATTCTGGTGAACCATTAATGTATCATATAAACTGGACCAGATCCCTGTGTGATGTCATCACTAATGACCATTATCATCTACAGCCAGTTATGACCTAAAACATGAAATAAAAAGTGGATTTCAATAAAATCAACACCACGATGTACAGGGCCCCCCAGAATATTGACCAGCCCCTCCCCCCACTTGTGTGGATGTGTACTTTTTCTTGGAGTTCAGCGTTCCATTTCAGGCATCCCCGGCAATGTCTTGGGGTTCACTGCGCTGAGCGTTCCATCATTGGTGAGACGTATTCTGAACATCTAGGGGGGGCTGGAGGGGGATGGGGGTGCAGCACCCTGGAACATTGTAAGGACGGATCTGCTGCTTTGTATTGTATTCCCGGTATCTACAGAACAGAAGCGGGTGGAGATTTGCATGTCTTGTGCTGAACTCATCACATTGCACAAAGTTAACTTGAAATTTATTAACCCCTCCCCCTTCCGGAGGATTCCCCGCCCCTTTCTGACCAGGCCACTTTTTGCGCTGCGGCGCCGCGTTACTTTAACTGACGATTGCGCGGTCATGCAACACTGCACCCAAACTAAATTTATATCCTTTTTTTTCCCACAAATTGAGCTTTCTTTAGGTGGTATTTGATCGCCTCTGCGGCTTTTATATTTTTCAAATTTAAACAAAAAAAAGACCAACAATTTTGAAAAAAAACTATATTTTTTTACTTCTTGCTATAAAACGTGTCCAGTAAGAAAATTTAAATCTAATTTCTTCATAAATTTCGGCCAAAATGTATCCCGCTCCGTGTCTTCGCCGTGTCACCCCACCCCGCTCCGTGTCTTCGCCGTGACACACCCCGCTCCGTGTCTTTGCCGTGACACCCCGCTCCGTGTGTCTTCTTTGCCGTGACACCCCGCTCCGTGTCTTTGCCGTGACACCCCGCTCCGTGTCTTTGCCGTGACCCCCGCTCCGTGTCTGCGCCGTGACACCCCCGTGCCTTCGCCGTGACACCCCGCCCGTGTCTTTGCCGTGACACCCCGCCCCGTGCTTCCTGACAAAAAAAAAAAAACAAACAATCACTAAAAACAAACCACAAAAAATCGCCGTGACACCCCGCCCCGCCCCGTGCCTTCGCCGTGACACCCCCGCCCCGTGCCTTCGCCGTGACACCCCGCCCCGTGCCTTCGCCGTGACACCCCCCGCCCCGTGCCTTCGCCGTGACACCCCGCCCCGTGCCTTCGCCGTGACATACCGATACGTGTAAATTAATTGGTTTACGTGAAAGTTATAGTGTCTACAAATGGCGGGATAAATAATGGGATTTTTTTCTTTTTTAACTAGTAATGGCGATCAATGACTTACAGCGGGACTGCGGCGGGCATTCTGACACTGGGGGGGGGGGGGGGGGGTTCTGACTGACTAACTGCCAGTGACACCAATAAAGTGATCAGTGGTAATAAAAAAGCTATATGCTACACTATACTAATGGCACTGGACAGGAAGGGGTTATCATGAGGGGCGATCAAAGGGTTACCTGTGTGCTGGGAGTGTTTTAGTATGTGCTGTGTGTTGGTACTTCACTGTAATCACACTGCTTTGTATGGCTGTGCTGTGCAGAGCTATCCAAAGCAGTGTGCACGCCCTGATAAATAAGCACTGACACTGTCCTAATGGCACTGGGCAGGAAGGGGTTAACATGTGGGGTCATCAAAGGGTTAACTGTGTGCTGTGTTACTAGGGAGACATGCTGTGCAGAGAGATACAAAGCAGCATGTCCTTGCTGCCAGGAGAGAGGTCTGTATTGTTTACATACAGACCTCTCCCGTTAGCTCCACCAACGATCACCAAGTCCCAGACGAGAATCGGCAGCTGGAATCCGGTGATTGACATCCCGAGGAGCCAATAGCGGCGTGGTAGGGAGCACTTTCAGCCCCCTATCCAGAAATACAAAATGATATATATAATGATTTAGCGCAGCCCTGCCGCCCTGTAGCGGTACTTCTTCTATAGGGCATTCGGGAAGCGGTTACCATTTTGGAAAACGTTGTACAATCATCATTTCGAGGGAAAGTCCACGCGTTGTCTGATCCATGTAGTTCTGCCTCGTCTGCACCACCTCGTGGCTATAATGGGCTGTCTTGTCTTTGTTCAGGTCATGCGGTGGTCTGTCCTGGAAGAATGTGGAGGGCCAGTTCCCCCACATCTATGCTCAGGGTTCCACTCTGAAGGACGTGTGCTTGGACTGCTCCAGTTTCATCCGTGACGTGGTGTGCTCCAGCCGGAAGAGCGTGGACATCCTGAACACCAGGCCCTACGTGGGGACCTCCCAGCCTCAGTATCGGACAGTTAAGAAACTGTGATCTCTGCTGCACTTTCCCTGCCAAAAATCCACCCAGCACCTTACACCCTCCACCCATCCCCATGCTATAAGGTCACACGGGGGCAGAACATGTCATGACCTCATCTAAACCAGGCATTGCAGCTATGTATGTTACTGAATGGGACTAGTGAAGCAGATCATCACCAAATCCTGGGTACCATCCCAGTGTCTGGCCACTTACCCTGGACACTTACCATGGCCATCACTCGTTACATCTACCCAACACTATGGTCAGTTGCTCGTGCACGCTGGTAAACGTGTTGACCTACTGGTTACCTGTAGCTTTTAGTAACTGAAGTGGAGAGGTCTCCCTGCTGCAGCCATTGCGAAAACCATGCAAGTGAGTCTTACTCCTCCTGCGCCATTGCCCCGATTTTGTAATTACAAAAAAAATAGAGGGGGCAACAGCAAGCCCCTTACAAAGGGCGACAGCCAATGGGGAGGTTGGGATTTGGGTGCTGGGCTCTCACGGCTGCAGTTACTGAAAAGCTATACCTAACCAGTGGGGGACACAACTCTCGAGGATTCAAAATGGAAAGATCAGCTTTTAAGTGTTTGTACCTTTTAAAGAGGACCTTTCATGCTGTCGGGGGTATGTACAGATCTCTAGAGGAACATTCATTCCTTGATTCGTATCTGTCCTTAAAAGAGGATCTGTCATGGCGTTTGATGTTTTGTACCCTTTAAATGGGCCTATCATTCCTTTGGGTTTGTAGACCTTCTGAGGACCAGTTATGCCTGGACTAAAGTCTGCTTTACAGAGGGACCCCAGCATTATGGACCTGGATGTGGTAGATGCAGATTTTTGGTTTGTTTTTTTTTTTACAAGTTTGTGTTTCCTCCTGGGAGAATTCCCCTTTTCCTTTGGGAAGAATTTCATGCCAAGAATGCGGTAGTCTTGGCTGCCTCTAGTATTCAGATCTGCCCTGTATTGCTCCTTGACCTTTCTTGTTCAGGCCATGGTGCAGCACTTCAGAAGAATGAGCTCATTTATGACAGGTCCTCTTTAAAGTTTTGGGAATGTTTCTGTATCAAAGACCACTTGTAATGTAGTTACCAACATAATGCTGTGAAGGAGAGAGGGGGAGGTAGATGGTTCTATCAATAATGAAGGTTTTAGTGTATTGTGGGAATGTCCTGTTGAAGGCCAACTCTGACCTATCATGGTGCCTCCCTACAGCAGCCCCAGCAACCTCGATTACAAAGAGTTTGCTCTGCCTCCCTCATCTGTCCTTCCCCACCTCGAAATATTACTGTGATTGAAAAAGGACATGCGACCTTTTGACTTCAGAGCTCAGAAATGGTGGTGGCAGCCATCATGTGAACCATGAATTTCAAAACCTTCAGCAACCCGGACAGGAAAGAGATGGCGGTGCAGCCCTCAGATCGGGGAAATCCAAAACTTCACAAACACAGAGAAGGCGCAATCTCCTCGGGCATCATCTTCAGCACTTTATTAAAGGGTATAAGAAAACAATGTTCATCTACGTGCCTATCGCTCACTTGGCTTGTGGCTGTAACAAGGGCAAAATCAGGAAGTCCGCTCTCCAACCTCAATTAGAGAAAGGATGACTATGCCAGCTTACGTGTTTCGGGGAACTCACCCCTTCCTCAAAGCTATAGAACTAATTCAGATAAAGGGGGTTAGTTCCTCAAAAGGATGACTGTGCCAGCATATGTGTTTCGGGAAACTCACCCCCTTTCTCTCAAAGCTGTGTTCAGAGGAAGGGGGTTAGTTCCCTGAAAGGATGACTGTGCCATCTAGCATGTCTCGAGGAACTATCTCCCTTCCTGAAAGCTATAGAAATAGCCCTGAGGAAGGGGGTTAGTTCCCCGAAACGTGTAAGCTGACATTGTCATCCTTTCTCCAGTTGGAGGGCGGACTTCCTGATTTTGTGCTTTGTACATCTCCATGCCTATAGCTTACTTGGCTTGTGCGTAGATAACGTATTTTTTGTGTGCCGTTTAATAACGTGCTTAAGATGAGGCGCTAGGCATTTGTGTCCTCTCTGTGTTCTATTAATGTAATGGACACCAAGATCTTCCACAAGCTCACCTTCTTTCAGCTTCGCCTGTGCAGAAACGGTGAGGATCAAAGGAAAATTCACACAAGAGTCACCCAAGCTCTACTGTTAATAGGAAACATTTGAGTGGAGAGCCGGTGCTCAGCCTCGAGCGTTCACTTCACAATATGTAGTAATGTAGCCGGCAACTCGGTCCCTTCTTCAAAGAATCGTTATTGACACACAATGGAAAATATATGATCCAAAAACCTAACCAAAGCCTTCCTCATAGCATACCAGATCCAAGGAAGCCTTTCATAATGGACACGTGCTCTAACCTGACTGAGCTGCAGGCTTGTTCCGTGTCCATACTAAAGCCAGAGGATCGGCTTAACAGCCAGGCAATCCAGAGTTCTGAATAAAAAGGTTTACTATGGGCAGTTGGGTTAATGGTCTGGGAGCCAATGAGTAACATTAACCTCCCAAAATACCCTACAACCTTTACAAGTAGACCAAGAACCAGGCCAGTGTTGCCACCTACCTCCTTTACAGCATATCCAGGAATACAGGTCCACTTTCCCAGTATTAGAGCAATGTGCAACACTGAACTTCCACTTTGATGTTTGTAATGTTCTGTGAGATCTACTCTATGATGGAAATCTTCTAAAATGGGAGCACTTTTCACCCTTGTGTGGAATCAGTGGGGACCTAGCTGGATCACTGGATCCCTCACACACAGGACGTTCCTCCACGGATGATGTCATAAGAACTTCTGTATTCTCACTTTGTTGGGTTCCTCCCGTCATCGGCTTACAAGGAACAAAACGCTCACAGACCTTTGACTTTGGTGGATGAAAGACACTGACTGGATCTTGTGTCACAGTCCAAATTCATAACCAATGGCCAGTGAGACTTAATGGTGAACAGCTAAAGATCTGCAACCCGGTTGACCAAACTGTTGTCCTGAAGATGCCTTTAAGGTCGAGTACACCTGAGTATGTTTATTGTTAACGTGTCAATGTTCGGTTGAAGTGCATCATACATGTAGACATGTACTAAGGATTCTGCAAGCAGCTCAGCCTAGGAGAAACTCAGAACCTTCTAAGCACCTGCTGTAGCCAAATGGCTCATGAAAGATGGAACCAGCACATGGTCTCTACACGGCATTTAGACCGGAGCTGGAGGGTGTTTAGAGGGTTTCTGTGTAAGTTGCTTGGAAAATCTAAAAGGGCCCCAGTGCTCAGACAGAGGTACTCTCAATGGTGGCTTTACCTGTAATGCTTCTTCGGATGCAGCCCTCCTCAGATCGGGAAATCTGCAAAAAAAACAGAGGAGGGTGCAAATTCCTAGTGCATTACCACCATTCACATTTCTTAGATCCCAAAAACAAATGGATACTCACAAACCTAAAAACCAGGCAATGTCAGCTGTCCATAAATCACGCGGTTGGAAGGCTGAGACGTTTCGGGGGACATGTTCCCTTCATCAGCGCTAAACCATCCTCAAACAATGTCACAACTTCAATGGTTGCATGTCGGAGACAGCCCTCCTCCATAACCAGCGAGTGGGCGGGGCTAGGGTTACAAGGGCAATAAACACCCCCCTCCCCCCACCACCATACTGGCAAAGCACTGCACTGCAAATCCCACCTAGGAAATCTCCAAAAAAAAGCAACAAAGCTACCATGATATTGGTGTCCAAGCCAGAAAGACAATGAATGACAAGAGCCATACATTCCATCCCTGTACAAGCTCTCTCATACGTTAGCCCATGAAAAAAACAGGAAACCAGTACCATTGGTAATACATTTTGGAGATTTCTAGGCTGGGAGTTGTAGTGCAGTGCTTTGCCAGTATGGTGGGGGGGGGGGGGGGTTATTGCTCTTATTGCCTTTGTAATCCTAGCCATGCCCACTTGCTCATGGATGAGGAGGACTGTCTACAACGTGCGACCATTTAAGTTGAGACATTGAGGTTGGTTTAGCTCTGAGGAAGGGGGCATGTCCCCGGAACCCGTCAGCCTTCCAACCATGTGGTTTATGGACAGATGACCCCGCCTACGGCTGGACCTGTGTGATGCCTGATGTGAGGATCCGTTTGTTTTTGGAATTGAAGACATTTTATATGGTGGTTATGCACTAGCCATTTGTTCTTTTAAATTGCTTAGGTCTGAGGGGAAAAAAAGGTCCCCCTCTCAGGTGATTTGGCAGAGGTGTCCTTGGGATTCAGTTCCAGAGGGAAGAGAACTAAAGGAAAAACTGAGGAAGACCATTTACACTCGCCTTTCATGGCACATCTATCTAGACAGTTCTTCAGGCCTGGTGCTAGAGATGTTCTTAAAGCTGCTATGATCCAGATCTCTACAAGAACGTCTCCAGTGCTAATCCTGACGCAGTGGCTTGGTGCCCCACAATATCATAAATATGTTCTTCAATAAAGCTTTGTTCTTTCCAGAGCTGGTCCTCCTGTCTCTTGAGAACCTGAAGACCCTTTTTAATGCTCTTCTCTTCATCCAGAGCACCTACAAGCCAGTCTCTACAAATGCCTTCATGTACTTAGCCTAGCCATAGACTGGACTGTTCCCGTTATTATCTGAATCACATGTTGCAGTGCTGGGGTATATATGGCACCTTTAGTGTGTTAGCGCACACGGGAGGTCACCAACGCTCACATTCTGCTCCCAAGCTTGGAATTGTATCCCTTTTGCATGTGAGAACCAACAATTTACTCTCCCAGAATCCCCTTTGGCAGTAGACTTCTTAGATGGGCAAGCACCCAGTAACCATAGTCCTCTTGTATTGACCCATGACCTTCACTCCCCTCGATGGATCACTATGGATCTCTGCTAACATATTGCATTACGGGCACAAGACCTCAATATGGAGAAGTGCGGGCGACCCGAATGAGATTTAACCCTTAGGACTGGGGCAGCTGACTGCTTGTTGCAGGGCAACAATTCCCAGTCGCCCTCCAGACCTGAGGTGGTTCAACTCTTCCTATTTTTGTAAGAAAACAAAGAAAATACCAAAAAATGTAGAGTGGATGATTGTGTAAATATATAAATATGCTGTATATGTATACGAGATAATTGCTTCTCCTGAGCTGCACTCTGACTCATCCCGGAACATCTCACTGCAGTAAAGATTGTTTTTCTATAAACGCCGTTTTGTCTGGTTATTGCCGGCGTCACGCCTGTCTTCTGCGCATTCCACCCAAATATAGAACGTTCATATGTCACAGAGAGGGGAGGGTGACTTTTATCCTGGTATGGAGTTCATGTAGGCGGCCAAGTCTCTAAACCAAGATCTGTCCCCATTCTTCCTTTCTGAATGGCGTTTTGCTGGAGAAAATACAAAAATATTAGATGGGGTGGTTGCAAGCATCACGCCAACCAATCCCTAAATCAGGGAGGGGTCTCCAAACTTCCTTCGCAAAGGGCGACTTTACCGTCCTTCAGGCACCAGGGGGCACCAAATTCATAACCAGTGGCCAGGTAGACTTCATGGTGAACATCCAAAGATCTGCAACCTGGTTGACCAAAATGTTATCCTGAAGATGTCTTTAACCATCTCCTGTCTGGCCGTGATATATAAACGGCCTCCCCGCACCCTGCTTGCCAGCACCGCAATCCTCCAGACACAGTGGAACACCAATCGCTGTACGGGACCTCTGTGCGAGAGGTCCCAATCATGTGATCTCTGATTGGCCAATCAGTGATCACATGAAGAGTAGTAAGCAAGATGTCACTTCTGACATCATTGCTTACTACGTGTGAAATCTGTGAATGATCACATGGTACCGGGCTATTCACAACAGCCTTGTACCATGTGACAAGCTGTGACCAATCACAGCTCACTCAGTAGTTCTCAAAGGCTGCAAGGATGCAGCCAGAGAGAAGGAGAAAATAATTGCTTTTACATCCTTTATGGGTGTAAAAGCAATCAGTGTAAAAAAAAAAAAAAAAAAAAAAAAAATCATCACCCCCCACAAGTAGTACAGTGTCACCATGGTGAGGGTGACAGTATGTAGAAAATAAATAATATTAAAAAAAAAAAAAATGTTTCATAATTATAATTTTTGGTTATAAACTAATTTTGGTTATATTTTTTTTTAATAAAAAGATAATGGAATAAATTTTGGCCGAGATTTATGATGAAATATTATTTATTTGCAAAATTTTATAAGAAAAACACTTTTTTTCAAAATTTGGAAGGGGGGGAAAGCGTCCGGACTGGAAGGGGGGGAAAGCGTCCGGACTGGAAGGGGGTGAAAGTGTCCGGACTGGAAGGGGGTGAAAGTGTCCGGACTGGAAGGGGGGGGGAGTGTCCGGACTGGAAGGGGGGGGGGGGGGGGGGGTTGGAGTGTCCGGACTGGAAGGGGGGGGGGGGAAGTCTCCGGACTGGAAGGGGGTGAAAGTGTCCGGACTGGAAGGGGGTGAAAGTGTCCGGACTGGAAGGGGGGGGGAGGTGTCCGGACTGGAAGGGGGGGGAGTGTCCGGACTGGAAGGGGGGGGGGGGGGAAGTCTCCGGACTGGAAGGGGGGGGGGGGAGTGGGAGTCCGGGACTGGAAGGGGGGGGGGAGTGTCCGGACTGGAAGGGGGGGGGGGGGGGGGAAAGTCTCCGGACTGGAAGTGGTTAAGGTCGAGTACACCTGAGTATGTTTATTCTTACCGTGTCTTTGGCCAGTGGGGGTAGACAATGCCCCGACATCGATGCCCCATTGTTGGGTTTTAATGGGAGGAATAGTGCCCATTGATGGTGGCCAGGGGCGGACTGACCATTTGGAAACTCGGGCACTGCCGAGGGCCCGGGGTCAGTAGGGGGCCCCATGAGATGCCCCTGGTACCTTTTTCATAGGCTTTTTTGAGTTTGGGCAAGGACACAGGGGCCCCATGATCCCCTATTGCCCGGGGGCCCCATGAGTTGTTAGTCTGCCCCTGGCCCCGCCCCCTCTAGGGGGCGGGGCCAGGGGCAGGGATTGTAACACATTTTGTAGCAGATTCCTCCCTTTTGTTATCCTGAAGAAATATCTGTTTGTTTCTCAGTGTCCATGTGCAGAGTGCATGTGAATGGGAGGGGCTTTATAATAATCAATCAGCTGCTGCACCTACAGGGCTCTGAGGAAAGTGGCGGGGTCTGCATCCTTTTAGACGTGACTTCCCTTTGGGAGCATATCACCGAAAATTACATTTTGGTTGCAGGGGATGCCCAAAATCTGACGTGTATCTTAGTGCAGACTTCCGGGAAAATCAGTCAGCCAATCACACAAGCAGGAAATTACATTTCTGGGTGGAGCTCTGTATACCATCTGTGTACACAACACCTCCAGGCGGCCATATTGCATTTTACAGAAACTGACAGCGACCGCAGATTGAAAAGGAAAGATCATTTATAACATTCAGTTACAATGGGACTTGTGCCGCCATTGTATATGCGAATTATTTTTTCCCATGAAAGTGGAGTTACCCTTAAATGCGCCCGTGGAAAGGATGAAACTGAAGAGCTGCAGAACCGCGTAAGAGAAGAAAGAGCCGTAGATGTTTTACGGTCCTTCACACACGGTTCCTGAACACATAGGGACCCTACATGTGAATACCGTGTGGTATGTCATTCAGCCTGCCAGGCAGCTGGGTTGGATGCCACGCCTGTACCTCCTGGGTGCACTAAACCCGGGATTGGATATGCAGGCGCTCGTCACCCAGTGTGCAATGGGCCTAAGGAGTAGCTGTTGTCCACTAAATAATGAACTGACACCTTTGCTATGATGGACTTTTGGCACCAGGTCTGACTTGACCGAAAACTCCAGACTGAGTCATTATGGAGAAAACCATTGCCAATCACCTTCTAAAAAAGCTACTTTCCTGGTTGGTATACTGATCTGATTGGTTCAATACCTTCTCTGTCACTGACCCTGACCAAGTCTGTAGATCAGGTGTTCTTCACTTACAACATGCTTGTCATTGACTCTGTAATGAAGCCAGAGACAGCAACACAACTGGCCTTTTCAGGTAGTCCTTGTAGGCCTTGATGTGAATCTTTATATAGAGCATTGTTATATGATTAATAGAAGTTATTTGTAATCACTTGGGGCTAGATTCAGGTTTTGGATGTATGCTGGTGTCATGGCACCCACAGGTTCCCCACACCTCTTCTGCATTGGTGGTTCCAGGGCCTGATATAATCGTTACAAGGCAAACCTGTCAAATTTCTGTTATGCCGTACACGGCTTAAGGTTTGAGACCTTGCTTGCCACAATTAGAGACTTCATAGTGCCAGGAGGTCCCAAAGGTAGATCTCAACATTGGGGTCAGAAAGAACATAAACGTCATATAGGTAGATCTTTTTAGGTAATCAGAATTGGCCAGTTTCCCGTAGAATGTTTTTGGAGAGAAAATGTGTTGGTAGATACTGCTTTGTATACAAATTATTGGGTTCCAGTGAAGGGTACTGGTAATACTACAGTATACAAAGACATTTTGGATAATTGTGTGTCAGCAGTTTGGTGAAGACCCTTTTCTGTTCCAACATGACTGTACCTCTGTCGGCAAAGCTAGTTCCACAAAGACATGGTTTGATGATGTGGCATGGAGGAGACAGAAGATCTCCTCCCCACTGAATGCATTTAGGATGAACTGGTGTGGTCTACACTGAGCCTTGACCTCAACCCTACTGAACACCTTTGGGATGAATTGGAGTGGTCTACACTGAACCTGGACCTCAACCCTACTGAACACCTTTGGGATGAATTGGAGTGGTCTACACTGAACCTGGACCTCAACCCTACTGAACAAATCTGAGATAAAATTTAGTGGTCTACACCAAGACTTGACCTCAACCTTACTGAACACCTTTGGGATGAACTGGTGTGGCCTATACCGAGCCTTGATCTGGACCCTACTGAACACCTTTGGGATGAAATGGAGTGGCCTACACCGAGCCTTGACCTGAAACACCTCTGGATGAAGTGGAATGGTCTCCGTAGAGCCTTGACTTCAACCCTACTGAAATTATCTGGGAAAAACTGGAGTGCTCTACACAATGCCTTGACGTCAACCCTACTGAACATCTTTTGAAACAACTGAACCACCGATTGCGAGACGTATCTTCTCATCCAGCATCAGTATCTGACCTCACAAATGATCTTTTGGCTGAATGGACCCAAACTCCCCCAGACACACTCCAAAATTTATTGGAAAGCCTTACCAGAAGAGTGGAGACTATGATGACTGGAAAAGAAAGGTCAACTCTATATTCTTGTCCATGGTTTTGGAATGAGATGTCCATCAAACTCATATAGAGATGACAGTCAGATGTCCACAGATTGACCATGTAGTGTAAATAGTAAGAGAGACAGATGGACAAACAATCAGATAATGGCAGTGAAAGGTCAGATCATGTTGGGAACAATAAAAACCCATCAGAATATGCTGTAGTGTTTCAGCCGTTATATTTTTTGACAATAAATACAATTAATGTACAAAAGAAATGATCATTTCCAGTCTTAGTAGAAATAAAACATACACGGGTCTCATGGAGGATCAGACAGGACATTTCTCTCATTCTCTAATAAAGTCACGGATTAAATAAATAAAAAGGCCAGCTCAACAAATTGCACAATGAAAGGCGTAAAACTGGTCTCATTGTGTATTGTAAAAGTCCCCGAACTTCCAGAACAGGAGGTCATGTACATTGGGTTTGTCATAAATCATCGTTGTGGTGGAAGCAGCGTTGTCTCATCTATAGGCTGTTCTCTGGTTTCCAGGGTAATGACATCACTCGCAGCGATGCGGACCAGGAATTGTCACAATAATGCGAATCAGGTAAAGCAGAACTTTCAGTAACTACAAGTCTATGAATAATCCCCGAGATGCCACGATGTACATTAGAAGCATCATTTCTCAGGAGAGCTCCACCTTTAACCATTGAGAAGCCATCTTTGATCTCCAGTCCATACCCGGCTACAGTACCGATGGTTCTGTATTCATTGTCACCATTTCAGACAAGTTCATTGAGACTCTGATGCGATATACACGAGCAGGAGGTCACCTTCATCTAAATCTACTGATAGAATATCTTGAGTTGTGCGACCTTCACAAAGAGCTGAACAATTAATGGGACATACAGAAGAAGGACTTTTATACCAACTCCCCCTGAACACCTTCGCTCCTGTAATACACCCGGTTGGATCAAGCAACCGTTTACCTTGTTTGTTTCTCCTGCCGTCCCTGGCAGCCATGCAGGATTCCGTACTCTTCGGCCAGCTTGGACTGGGCTGTGTGAAGATACGGGTATACAGGCAGCAGAGATCGAAAGTCAAACCCCTATGAGCTTTAGAATGGGTGTGCAAGTTACACCAATCTGCCCAAATCGACCACAATTGGAGCTGTGGGAGGCCCTGTCCATACCAGCCGGCTCGAAAAAAAAGCTGAATTTTATCAAAGGAGCAGAAAATCACCGGCCAAACGGTAACCACATCCAATCAGGTTCGATCACTGGTCGGGTATTTAGCATCGATGGGTCCCATTGGTTGATGAATGTAATAGCCAGCAGGGGAGATTCCTTTATCCATGTGTATAGAGGAAGGAATCCGATAGATTTTTCTCATTCCTCTCGTGTGGCTAGCCTAATTCTACACAAACTAGCATCCCCCCCCCCCCGATTCTCACCCGTGGTCCTTCAGAAATAACCTATTCCCATCCCTCCCCCCCAGCCCCTTGGAAGCAGTGCGTGTCGGCGTGGCGTATGACGGAAGGCCATATAGGTCAGAATGATCTTCTCCAATCCCGCCGAGTAGTGCTCAGTAGAAACCACAAAGCATCATGGTACATAGAACACAATTACGGAAGGCTCAGACGTTCGGAAATAGCACCTCGGCAATGTCTCCAGGACAGCTGTACATTGAGCGGTTGCCTTGGGCATTGTCCATGAAGGAAAGGACTGGGATTGGTTTATTGCCGCCATTATCAGCAGCACAAACTCTCCCCCACAGTTCCAGTTAGCGGTCAGCAGCAAGGACAACACCCAACATTTCTGGATCTGGTTACAGCATTGCCGTATGTGCTGGTGGAAGGAGTGTGGGACAGAACGGACCCTGGTACCTTGTCCTGCATGGGCAACACACAAGTGCACGGTACAACTACACTCACCGGCCTCTTTATTGGTCCACCTGTTCAATGGCTCGGTAACACAATTGGGTAATCAGCCAATCACATGGCAGCAACTCAATGCATTTAGGCATCTAGACGTGGTGAAGACGACTTGCTGACGTTCAAACCAAGCATCAGAATGGGGAAGAAAGGGGACTTTGAACGTGGCATGGTTGTTGGTTGCCGGACAAGCTGGTCTACGCCTTTCAAAAACTGCTGATCTCCTGAGATTTTCCATCTCCAGGGTTTACAGAGAATGGTCCAAAAAAAAAAAAAATATCCAGTGAGTGGCAGTTGTGTGGAGGAAAATGCCTTGTTGAGGTCAGAGGTCAGAGGAGAATGGGCAGACTGGTTGGAGATGATAGAAAGGCAACAGGAACTCCAATAACCCCTCGTTACACCCAAGGTATGCAGAATACCATCTCTGAACGCACGACACATCCAACCTTGAAGCAGATGGACTACAGCAGCAGAAGACCACACCGGGGGCCACTCCTGTCAGCTAAGAACAGGAAACGGAGGTTACAATTCACACATTGACATTTTTTTCATTGTGCAGATATCCCCGGAACCAGAAAACATTTTTTGGAGAATAGGAAATGTTGGGGGAAAACCTGAGAGAGGACTTCTTCCCTGGACTGGTCAGATGAGGACATAGATCCTCCGGGACTTGTTTACTGTTCAATCCAACCAGCCGGGAGGAGCAGCAAACATCTCGCTGTACAGGTATCTTAAAGGGTCCTCAACAGATCAGTTTGGGTAGATGCTGGAGAGTTCAACCACCTGACACGTTCTTGTATATCTCAGGGACTCTGTTGGTGAGATCTCCCAGGTCTGTACACCTCGTGTCCATTATGAGGGGTTTCCTCATCCCTGTGCCAAGTTCCTGGGTCTGTACACCCGTTGCACCCATTATGAGGGGTTCCCACCATCCCTGTGCTGAGTTCTCGGGTCTGTGCACCTGCTGCCCCCATTATGTGGGGTTCGTACCATCCCTGCATGGATTTTCCAGGTCTGTACACCCGCTGTGCCCATTATGAGGGGTTTCCTCATCCCTGTGCCAAGTTCCCGGTCTGTACACCCGTTGCACCCATTATGAGGGGTTCCCACCATCCCTGTGCTGAGTTCTCGGGTCTGTGCACCTGCTGCCCCCATTATGCGGGGTTCGTACCATCCCTGCATGGATTTTCCAGGTCTGTACACCCGCTGTGCCCATTATGAGGGGTTTCCACCTTTCCTGTGCCGAGCTCCCGGGTCTGTACACCCGCTGTGCCCATTATGGGGGGTTTCCCACCATCCCTGTGTGGATCTTCCAGGTCTGTACACCCGCTGTGCCCATTATGAGGGGTTTCCCACCATCCCTGTGCTGAGTTCTCAGGTCTGTGCACCTGCTGCCCCATTATGCGGGGTTAATACCATCCCTGCATGGATTTTCCAGGTCTGTACACCTGCTGTGCCCATTATGGGGGGTTTCCCACCATCCCTGTGTGGATTTTCCAGGTCTGTACACATGCTGTTCCCGTAAGGAGAGGTTTCCACTCTGATACTGGATTCTACATTTAGTTTTTATGATGAAGAACCAGCAGACAATCTAGAACCTGCAGAGTCACCGAGGTGGACCAGAACAGGTGGGAACATCTCACAGAGGATTCAAGACATAACAAGCCAGGAGATGACTTCACCCACCAGACTCCACCCATAGCCAAGCTTCATTTGTGGGTGGACTGACTCTTGAGAGCCAGTTCAGAAAAGCCGACATGAATGTGTGCAGGACACAGCGGGGACCATAACCTGCCAACACTCACTTCCTGTCCAGCCCTCCACCATGTCCCTGGAGTCTCCGGGCTGGTGATTTTACTGCAAACACTGAGACTATGGCCTCTCCCAATATGTACTGCTGGAGACCTTCAGAAAGGCAGGGCCACTGGGATGCAAAGACGAGGAACAGGAACACCAATGGTCAGCTTTGGGAAAGAGGATATGTGATAGGACAGCCAAGGTGGAGGAGGTTCTTAGGACCTGTGTTGATTGGCCGGCTGTTCCTTCCTTGTCACAGACAAGTCTTAGGCAAACCTGCGAGGAGCAGAACAGTCAGGAGGCCAAATGCAGCCGATTGGAAACGGACGTCAAATCGATGCCAACAACACGAACCCAACGTCATGCGGTGCCAGTAGATACTTTCAACTGGATGTATTCGTTGGCACCCCATGTCCTCTCTGCACACAGGCGGGGTTCACTAGGACACGTCTACGCAGGTTCAAAGGTTACGGGTTCACCAGAGTCCTCCTTGGCAGTGCAGGAAAGAACCTCCAACCACCGCCTGCAGCAGAGGCCAGAAGTGGAAGGAAGAAGAAAGTCTTGGATTTGCCCTCACAGCAAATTCTGCTACTGGATTACCACTAATGTGGTGGCATTAAGGCACCTCTGAAGACGCGCATACACAAACCGCCGCGACCGTCGTGCACACACACACCGCCGCGACCGTCGTCGTGCACACACAACCGCCGCGACCGTCGTGCACACACAACCGCCGCGACCGTCATGTACCGTCATGTACATACAACTGCCGTGACCTTCGTGCATACACAACCGCTGCGACCGTCATGCACACACAATCGCCGCGACCGTCATGTATATACAACCGCCGCGACCGCGACCTTCGTGCACACACAACCGCCGCGACCGTCGTATATATACAACCGCCGCGACCGTCGTGCACACACAACCGCCGCGGCCGTCGTGCACACACAACCGCCGCGCGTGCACCCGTCGTGCACACACAACCGCCGCGCCGTCGTGCACACACAACCGCCGCGGCCGTCGTGCACACACAACCGCCGCGACCCGTCGTGCACACACAACCGCCGCGGCCGTCGTGCACACACAACCGCCGCGGCCGTCGTGCACACACAACCGCCGCGGCCGTCGTGCACACACAACCGCCGCGACCGTCGTGCACACACAACCGCCGCGACCGTCCTGCACACACACAAACCGCGCCGCGACCGTCATGCACCACAAACCGCCGCGACCGTCATGCACACACAACCGCCGCGACCGTCGTGCACACACACACCGCCCGCGACCGTCATGTACACACAACCGCCGCGACCGTCGTGTACACACAACCGCCGCGACCACCGTCATGTGCACACAACCGCCGCGACAACACAACCGCCGCGACCGTCATGTGCACACACAACCGCCGCGACTGTCATGTACACACAACCGCCCGCGACTGTCATGTACCAACCGCCGCGACTTCGTGCATACACAACCGCCGCGATCGACCAACCCGCCGCGACCGTGTACATACAACCGCCGCGACCGTCCTGTACATACAAACGCCGCGACCGTCATGTACATACAACCGCCGCGACGTCATGTACACACTACCGCCGCGACCTTCGTGCATACACAACCACCGTGACCGTCATGTACATACAACCGCCATGACCGCCATGTAGTCGAAGTGTGAAGACGTCCAGAGGGGTCTCCAGGGGTCGTGTGTCAATGGAGGTGACCAAAGTGCCTCAGTCTGGAATGTGTCATCGGCCACCCAACGAGGAGATGCTGAGCGATCAATGGATTCATCTCCATGGTGATGAAATGGTTCCAGCCAGGGATGTACATGGAGGTACGGCCTCCAGCCAATGATGTCCCTTGGTCACGGCTCCTCCCCCACCTCCTGCACCTGTTTGCGAAGGTTTAGCCTCGAGCACCGCGGACAGCTGGTGGAGTTGTCGTAATAGCAGTCTCTGTGATAAAAGAGAAGATTTGTTTAGCCTCTTCCTCTCTCATCCCTCCTCTGTCCCTATGGAGCCATTCTGAAGCCCCGATGATCAGAAAATCACACAAAAAATGCCGCATTCAAAGAGATCGTATGATAATCTGATCATTAGATTGTAAACTCCTAGGATCAGGCCCCTCCCTCTCAGATTGTAAACTCCCAGGATCAGGCCCCTCCCTCTCAGATTGTAAACTCCCAGGATCAGCCCCTCCCTCTCAGATTGTAAACTCCCAGGATCAGCCCCTCCCTCTCAGATTGTAAACTCCCAGGATCAGCCCCTCCCTCTCAGATTGTAAACTCCCAGGATCAGGGCCTCCATCAGGAAACTCAGGATCAGCCCCTCCCTCTTAGATTGTAAACTCCCAGGATCAGGGTCCCCTCCCTCTCAGATTGTAAACTCCCAGGATCAGCCCCTCCATCTCTAGATTGTAAACTCCTAGGATCAGCCCCTCCCTCTTAGATTGTAAACTCCCAGGATCAGGCCCCTCCCTCTCTAGATTGTAAACTCCCAGGATCAGCCCCTCCATCCTCAGATTGTAAACTCCCAGGATCAGCCCCTCCCTCTTAGATTGTAAACTCCCAGGATCAGGCCTCCATCTCAGATTGTAAACTCCCAGGATCAGGGCCTCCCTCTTGGATTGTACGCTCCCAGGATCAGGCCCCTCCCTCTCAGACTGTAAATTCCCAGGATCAGGCCCCTCCCTCTTGGATTGTAAGCTCCCAGGATCAGCCCCTCCTCACCCTCTTGTATTGTTGCTGTATTGTCTCCCCGTTATATTGTACAGTGCTCAGCACACTGTTGGCGCCATAAATCCTCTATAATAATGATAATGATAATAATAGACAGCAATCGTTTGAAATTACACGCACAAGTTTTTTTTTTCCATGGAACTAGTACAGATTTCATCTGAAAATACAAATGTGTGACATCACTTCCATACAAATGTGTGACGTCACTTGCGTACAAATGTGTGACGTCACTTGCGTACAAATGTGTGACGTCACTTGCGTACAAATGTGTGACGTCACTTGCGTACAAATGTGTGACGTCACTTGCGTACAAATGTGTGACGTCACTTGCGTACAAATGTGTGACGTCACTTGCGTACAAATGTGTGACGTCACTTGCGTACAAATGTGTGACGTCACTTTGCGTACAAATGTGTGACGTCACTTCCCTACAAATGTGTGACGTCACTTCCCTACAAATGTGTGACATCACTTCCCTACAAATGTGTGACATCACTTCCCTACAAATGTGTGACATCACTTCCCTACAAATGTGTGACATCACTTCCCTACAAATGTGTGACATCACTTCCCTACAAATGTGTGACATCACTTCCGTACCAGAGTTTTCCTAACTTTAGTAACCCCCTTCGCTTCCAGCTCCGCCTTCTGGTGTGGGAGGTGCCGGCACAAAGGGGCTAAAGCAGTGATTGTCAACAAACTACAGGGATCCTGAAATACAGACCCCGGCATCACCAAAGGGCCACGCATTGGGGGAGATCGACTAAACCTGGAGCACTCAGAATCCGGTGCAGCCCTGCATGGCGGCCAATCAGCTTCTAGCTTCAGTTTGTTCCATGAAGCTTTGACAATAAAACCTGGAAGCTGATTGGTTGTATGCAGAGCTGCACAGATTTTGCACCCTTTTAGTTTTAGTAAATCTCCCCCTGGAACGTTTGATTCATGTAATGCTGGAGAGGACGGTCAGAGACTGCAGACCGAATATTATTATTATACAGGATTTATATGGCGCCAACAGTGTGCGCAGCGCTGTAACAACATGAAGGCAGACATTACAGCTACAATACAATCTGGTACAAGAGGAAAACTGAGGGCCCTGATCCTGGGAGCTTACAATCTAGGAGGAGGGGCTGAGTGATACAAAGGTAATAGCTGTGGGGGGATGGGCTGATGGAGGAAATAAATGGCGGCTTACTAGGTAGAAAAAACAGGACAGGCTTCATTATAGAGAAAGGTTTTCGTCTGGATAGATTAGGAGACAGCCGGACAGATTGGGGTAGGGAGTTCCACAGGATGGGGAGAAGTCCTGGAGGCGAGAATGGGAGGAGGTGCCATGGGAACTAGAGAGCAGGAGGTCTTGGGAGGATCAAAGAGAGCGGTTTGGTTGATATGTTGAGGCCAGGTTGGTGATGTAGCGGAGTGGGGGGGGGGGGGTTGGTGATGTAGCGGAGTGGGGGGGGGGGGTTGGTGATGTAGCGGAGTGGGGGGGGGGGGGGGGTTGGTGATGTAGCGGAGTGGGGGGGGGGTTGGTGATGGGGCGGGGGGGGGGGGGGTTGGTGATGTAGGGGGGGGTATGGAGGGGTGTTGAAGGGGGGGACGGGGGGGGGGGGGGGGGGGGGGGGGGAGAGCTGTGGATGGCTAAAAGAGGACCATGAGGGTCAGAGAGTGAGGACATAAAGGAGGGTATGGAGGGGTGTTGAAGAGGGGGACGGAAGGGGGAGGGGATGGGTATGGAGGGGGAGGGGTGTTGAAGAGGGGGACGGTAGGGGGAGGGGATGGGTATGGAGGAGGGAGGGGGTGTTGAAGAGGGGGACGGTAGGGGGAGGGGATGGGTATGGAGGGGGGAGGGGTGTTGAAGAGGGGGACTGTAGGGGGAGGGGATGGGTATGGAGGGGGGAGGGGTGTTGAAAAGGGGGACG